GGGGGGCGAATTTCCTGGGGGGCGACCTTTTTAAAAATTCTATCTTGCCCCCCCCCAAATTTGAGTTTGCCCCTCAAATGCCCCCCCCCAAAAAAAATTTGGAAGCCTGGCGCCGCCACTGGCGAGTTGCGAGCTGCGATTTACGAGTATATTGTTAATTTCTAATAATATCGGGTTTAATTTTAACCCAGGGTTAACACTAACCTAGCTTTGAAGCACCGAACCAGGTGTTTAAACCTGTGGTTTACACTAAAAAAGCAAATTGAAAACTGTATGGCATCCTGGCGGATGGGATTTTAGCTTTGTCTCAATTTGGCGCGAATTTTCAGCTTTTGAAATAAACATTCATTGCATTTATTTTTATACTTACAAACTTGTAAATAGCAATCGTTTTGATGTACTGATGGTTTTTTCCCGTGTGAAAATAAATTTTTGTATGTACTGATGTATGTATGTACAAATTGAATTATTTTAACTTCAGTTGTACTTCATCCTCGTTCCCAGGGCTTCTCGGATGGTTGTACTTCCGATGAAAAGGACTTGAGTTTAGGGTTCCGAGCGTTCAGTATATATAAACAAACTGAGTCGGTGTCTAGTCATACTTACTAATAAAATTAAATAACCATTTTAAGATTAGAAAGCACAAAATGGTCTGGATAACTACTAGATTTAATTAAACACCGAAACGGCAAATATAAACTTGCACTTTTATTTTCAATATAATTATTTTAATTCTTGAACATACGTACCGATGGATCTAACAAAGTAAACAAACAAATAAAGGCCGATGATTTTCATCTCGACCGTATCGTGGCATTTTCTTTTGTGTCGAAGTCGTTATTTCCACTCTAGTGGTCAGGAAACAAAGAAATACGCTTCGCTACGATACGGTTGAAGTGGAAAACCGGCTTAAAGTGCACGGAAAACGTGTTGAAACGAATTTAGTTACAGGGACCTTAACTTCGAAGGTCATTAATATTTATGAAACAAAAAACCCTTCGACTTTGCCTTCCATGTCGTCCATATTAATATACTTTCAAAGCCTAATTCAAAGCGAGGCTAGCGACTCGCAACTCGCAGCTCGCAAAATAGCCGACCCCAAACGTACCTTCTCATATAACATTGCTCTGTTAATTCCACGAAGAGAGGAATCAATCTTGTCCAACTTTTGTGCGGGTCTATTTTGTCATACTATAAGAATAAATTCATTGTCTATATTTGCAGAAAAAGAAGCTTTGGAACAAAGAGCGAAACGGTTAAGTATTGAAGGAAGTGCAACTAACGATGAAAGTGAAAAAGACAGAAATCTCGAAATTTTGCAGGATCAACTAAAACACCTAGAAGAGGAAAAGAAATATCTTAACGAAAAAATCCATGATTTTGAACACGAGACTGCAGGACTTGCCCGGATGTTTGGAATGCAACAAGAAAAATTCGAATATGAGATAAAGAATAAAGATACAATTATCAAAGCTATCGAAAAAGAAAGAAAACGTTTGGAAGAAGAATTGGAAACCACCAGAAATGACTTAGGAAAATTGAAAAACGAAAGTGAATCTGAAAACGAGCTTGTCGAAAATCTCAAGACGTCGATGCATGTAAAAGATGAAGAAGTTTTGAATCTTTCACATTTACACGATGATGCCAAAAAGCTACTCAAGGAAATAGAAGAAAAGCTTACAATGTCTGATGAGAACTTGAGGAAGGAACGATCTAAGAACAAGGTGCTTGAAGAGAACACTGGCAGTTACATGGATAATATAGAAGCTCTGAGCGAAGAAAACAGACATCTTAAAACAGAAATCAGTCACCTTCGTAATGCCCAAAGAAACGTTAGTCAAGAGAAAAGTCAAGTGGAAAAAGAAATACAAAAGTTAAACGACCAGATTGAATGTTTACAAAATAAACTTCAAGAAAGTGCAAGGAATCATGTCAAATTAGAAGTATGTAATGCAAAATTGAAACAAGATAAGAATGATAAGGAGTCTGAAATACGAAAGTTGGAGAAAAAAGACGTAGACTTGCGAACTGATATAGAAAAACTGAAGAAGGAAATTGTTTTAGTAGAAGATCAGAAGCATGCTTTGGAAAGCAAGATGAGTCTTGTTCAAGCAGAAATGAAGAACTTGGAAAGGTTGAGAGAAAGGCTTGAACAAGAATTATTTGACTCACACAAACGTCTAGAGAAAGCAGAAGAAAATCTTGAAAGAAGAACCATCGAAAAAGGAAAATTAGAGGAAGAAGTTCAGGCCTTAGAGCAAGTTATAAACGATCTTTTGATTAAGAATAGACAAGAAAATGAATGTTTAGAGAAAGCGGAAGAAAATTTGGAAAATGAAACTAAAGAAAAAGAGAAACTAGAAGAAGCAGTCCAAGCTTTGGACCAGGTGATAAATGATCTAAAGAAAAGTATTAAACAGCAGAATAATTTTCTCGAGGAAACGAAACGGGAATTAGATACAGTTATTGCAACGAAACAACAACTTTTGTTGGAAGTAGAAAAGCTCGAAAATGCCAACAAAGATTTGAAGATAAAGATCAATACGCTTTCCCAAGATATTGAAAACGTGCATGGTGTTTGTGAAACTAAAGCGAAAAAACTTGAAGATTTGGAGCGAACTCTGAATGAAAAATCAAGAATCATTCTATCGCATGAAAATAAAGAAAAAGAGCTTCAAAATCGTATTGAAGAACTACTAAATATTGACGCAATTGGTGCAAGTGAGTTGAAAATCGCCAGGGAGGAAATAACAAAGCTCCGTAAAGAGAACGCCAATATCGAGGAGAACTATGAGAAAACTACTGTACAGTTCCAGGAATGCCTACAGGAGCTGAGCAAAAAAAACGAGATGTATATGAAGAGCAGGACACACAATGAGAAACAGGTGGAAGAGTTAACTCGCTTTAGAGAACTTAATGCTGAAATTAATGATGAATTGAGGAATCGCAATGACGAAATTGGTTTGCTGACTATGGAAAAAGACGAACTTCAAAGAGAGTTGGCATCTAAGCAGAATTTGATAGAAAAAAAATCTTTAATGCAATCAAATCTAAAAGAGGAAGTGGAGTCAATGAAAATTCACATAGAGAAATGCAAAGAGAACGAAAAGGAAACATTTCAAAAGTTGTCAGAAGCAAAGAGGAAGCACGAGACAGCAATAAGACATCTTGACAATGAAAGAGACGAGAAAAACGATTTGGAATCACAACTGAAGTACAGTCGGGAGAAGGTTGAGCGATGGAAGAAACTTAGTTTTGAAATAAAAGACGAAAGAAATAGGTTACAAATGCAAATAACAGAATTAGACAGAAATCTTAATGAGAAGCATTCAAATTTGGCAGAAGAAAAGTCAAGCTTAGAAAAAGAAATGGGAACTTTGAAAAATATTGTTAAACGATTAAAATCCAATGAAGAAAACTTGAGATGGAAAATTGAGGAGCTTCGTGACGAGGTTGACAAACTGTCTGATGTTAATTCTGAACAGGAAATGGAAATTCGTAAACTCTCCCACGAGAAGGAAAGAATGATGGAAAATTTTGTCATGTTAAAAAGTGTTGCGGAGGAAAACGCTGCATTACAAAACGAATGTAAAGAAATTAATTGCGAAAGAATTAAGTTGAACAATCATGTCGATACTCTTCAGGACAAAGCAAAGAATATCGGAGATGAAAATGAGAGATTGCAAAAAGAGTTAAAAATACTCCAAGATCAGTTTGACGTTATGCAAGAGCGTCTACTGGAAACAACACAAGAATGCAAACAACTGAAGAACGAATGTAATATCGTTAAGAATAACACATCAGAATTAATGGAGGAGAAAGAAAGATTGTTTAACGAGAACTGTCGACTTAAAGAAAAGAAAAACAGCACTATTCAAGACAGAAACAAACTTCAAGACATGATCGAGTCTTTAGATAAATGCCACAGCGAAAAGAATGATGCGTTATCACGACAAATTTCTTTGCTAGAAAATGAATTGGCATCACGTCGATCAGAAATAAAGAGATGCGAGGAGAAAGAATCGAAATTGCTGAATGAAATACAAGAACTGAACGAGAAGACTGAAAACTCTATGGAAGAAAATGATAAGATTAACGGCTTGTTGAAAAAGACAGATGGTGAAAATATTCGCTTGAGAGAGAAAGTTGCAGATTTGGCAAAGTTGGTTGAGCAGATTGAACAGGAAAGAGAGTTGAGAATAAATCTAGAAACAGAATTGAACGGAAGGGAGAAATTATTGAATAAATATAAAACAAGCAAGAAAAAGCTCAATGATTTAATATCCACGTTGTATCGCCAACAAAATGAACTAAAAGATGAACTACGAAATAAAGAAAGAGAGCATATTGATCTGAACGATACCCTAGAAACCGAGCGAAGTGATAAACTTAAATGTAAGGACGTAATAGGACAACTTGAAGAAGAACTAAAAACCACAAAAACTAGGGCACTCAAGTGCATTAATGAGATGCAAAATGAGAAAGAAAAGAATGAACAAGCAGAATTGGCTCTTACTAGAATAAAAAAAGAAAGAAACGATTTTAAAGAAATTTCAAGAAGAAATGAATATGAGTACAACGGGAAGATTAAGGGTTTAGAAAGTGAAACACGTGAACTCTTGGACAAAATAGAAATGTTACAAAATGAAAACGACGAAGCGAAACTTTGTAACGTGAATTTAGATATTAAAATACAAAATCTTGAAGAAGAAATGCGTTCACTTACGGAAACAAAAAGTCAGCTTGTTGAAAAACTAAGGAAAAAGGATGAACAGTTAGTTGACATAGCAAAGGAAAATAACACAATAACAGAGGAAAACAAACGCTTACAAGAACATGCCGAGAATATTGATATGATAATTTCTTTACAGAATTCTGCTGCGTTAGATCAGGCATCAGGAATGGAAAAAGAAATTAAAATCCTGCATGATACTTTAACACAGCTTCAAAATACTAGGGATATTAATCGTTCCGAAATTGACGAGCTGAGAAGGAACTTAAAGACTGCAAATGAAGATAGAATGAATACAGAAGTGAAGCTGAATGACAATCGACTAGAGCGAGAGAGACTTGAAAGTAAAACTAATGAATTGTTGAGCAATTGTGCAAGGCTTGAAAATTTAGTAAAAGAAGGAGTGCAACTAAAATTAGAGAAAGCAGACAAGGAACGGTTGTTGGAATCTGCACAGCAAACGAATCGAGTTCTAGACGTAGAACTAGCTGGTAAAACTCGGGAGATTTTGGAGAAAGAACGAGTTCTGGAAAACCTCAAAGAAGACATATGTGATTATAAGGAGACGATAGAAAAGCTTGACGCCTCAAAGAAAGGACTTATTGCTTCAGTTGAAGAACTTTCACAAATTAATGACGAAGGCTTAAAAGAATTTAAGCTTAAGAGTGACAAGAATGAACAACTACTTTTAGAGAAAAATCGTTTGACTGAATTAGTTGTTTTTCATAAAGACGAGATGGAAAATTTAAAGAGAGAAACAGATGAAATCAAAACTGAACTACAGTTCAAAATTCAAGAGGCAGAAAATGACAAATTTCAGTTGCAAAGTGACGTAAATATGAAAGAGGAAAATCTTCATCGACTGACAGAGAAGAGTAATGAACTTCAGGAAAGTTTAAAGAACGTTAAAGAAGAAGTTGATGACTTGGAAAACGAAAATGAAGATCTTTTAGCTGAATCCGAACAATTGAAAGAAGTCAACAAAAAGGCAAAAGAAGCTCTCTATACTCTGCAAAGTGAGCACAGTGTTCTTCAAGAAGAACTACGTGAGAAGGAGAACAGCTGGAATGAAGAGAGAGGGAAGGTATCGCTGGAGATATTTAAAATGGAGACAGACATCACAAACTTAAATGGTCGACTAACTCAAGCTAACGAGCGAAATGAAAAACAACGAGAGTTGGAGAAAATGCTTCGCTTAGAAATCGACGAATTAAGCGATGGCTATGTTGAACTTGAAGAGGAAGTACAGCATCGTAACGATGAAAACCTTTCGTTAAAGGAGAAGTTACAAACATTTTTACAGAATATTGAAGAGCTAGAACTTGCTCGGGATACAGCTTGTCTTTTAAAAGAAAAACGACATTGTGAGCTACTTAAGTCTGAGAAGAATGTCCAACGCTTGGAAAAACATTTAAAAGAGAAACAGAAAACCAACAAGAAGCTCCAGAAAGAGTTGGATTCCGTTGTCGAGAAAGAAAAATTTTTGGAGCTGCAGATATCTGCAGAAAAAGAGCTGAGTGGTCAACGTTTAAAACAAATACAAGATTTGCAGAATTTGCAGCGTAAGGTGGACGAACAATTGTGGAAAGCAAAACGAGATACCGAGAAGCTTGGAACAGAAATCGAAACATGGCGTACCAGTAGTGATTCCATGAAAGTTAGAATTGAAACGTTAGAAGACGAGTTGAATAAAACAGCAAATGAAAAGCAGATGGTTTCAGAGCTTTATGAAGAAGCAAAGAAGATAAGCGAAACAAAAGCGGAACAAATTCGTAAATTAAAATCCAACTTTTCCGAGAAAACGGCAGGTTTTGAAGCAATTATTGGTGAAATGAACAACGAAAAATCTGATTTTAACCAAACATTAAACAACCTTGAAAAACTACTTGAAAAGAAGTCAGTTGAGATTGCGACTTCGGAAGAAATAGTTGAAGTCATTAGTAATAAATATGAAGACTCCTTATTGGTGACCTCGTTACTGCATAATGATATTCAGAGAAAGGATGAAAGAATTGCGGAGCTTGAAGAGAGGAAGAAACAAGTAACGAATTTACTAACTGACTTAGATTCAAAGATTGCAGAAATTCAAGTCCAAGCGAAGGGTCTTGAAACAGATAATGAGTTCCTTCGACAACAACTTACCAGAGCAATTACGTCAAACGAGAATTTAAGAAAAAAGTTGGAAGATGAACAACGATTATTTGCTGAGAAATATGAAAAGAGTTCGCGAGAAATTCAGTATCTTCAAGAGATGAAAGACCACTTTGTGCAACTCGCCTTGGAAGCAAACGGCAAAATTGAAGATCAAAACAGCGCATTGATGAAACTGCAAGCAGACTATGAGAAACTAATTTCAGATAAACATTGTCTAAATAACACCAAGGTACGTCTGGAGAACGAATTATGGGAGACGAAATCACAGGAAGAAAAACTGAAACAAACTTTAAACATTGAAAAAAAGAAGACTGATAAGCAAAGCTTAGAAATCGAACATCTCTTAAAAGATTGCGAGTCTTTGACGGCAAAACATTCACTTGCGTCTGAAGAACATAAGGAAACGGAGAAAAAGTTAATGAAAACAAACGCTGTTTGTCAGGAATTGGAAGATTTTTTGGAAGAAAGAAATGCAGAGATTTTAAAAATTCGGGAACAATGCAAAAACTGGAAAGATAAAGCAAATCAAATCGAAGAATCTCTTTCTGTTTCGATTGCACAAAATGAGAAACTCCTACAAATAAGAAATGAAGAAATCAGATCGTTAACTGCTGCAAACAAGAAATTGAAAAATATGATTGATGAAGTCAAGCCAGATTTAGACGAACAAACTGCAAGAAATAATACCAATGAATTCGAAAATAAAAATTTGAAAGAGAAACTCGAACAGAAACAGGAATGTTTTAATGATTTAGAAGTTTTGTATAAAAATACGATGAATTCAAAAGATTCGTTAGAAGTTGAGAAGAAGGGATTGTTAACAAAAATTAAGACTACTTCAAGAAATTTAGAAACACTACAGATTGCAAGGCAACAACTTATAACTGAAAACAAAGAGTTGAATGGTGTCGTGAAAGCAAAAGAAAAAGAACTTGAAGAACGTTGTAACTCATTTCGGATGACTGAACAAAAATTGGACGAAGAAATATCTGACCACAAGACAACTGTAGAAAACTTATTAGTTGAAAACAGTGATCTTCGACAGAAAGTGAACGTTAGGAATACACAACTGAAGGAAACAAAAATTTCATTGGCAGAAATTAGTCGAAAACTAGAAGATCAAGAAAAAGAAAACAAGAGGCTTAATTCGGCAATAAAAAACTTAAATTTTGAAAGAAATTGTTTAGCAGACGTGAATTTAAAAGTTAGTGATGCTCTTGGTAAACTGAAAAATGAATCAGGAAGAAAGCAAACACAACAAGAAAAAAAACTTCTGGAATCTGACAAGAATGCATTAAATGAACACGGTGAATCAGACTTCTCGTGGCAATCGAAACAAGTCTACTCAATGAAGAGTTTTGAATTACAAAACAATTTTTTACAAGTTGAAAATGAAATACACACTCTCCGATCTCTCGTTTCTAACAAGGAGAACGAGATTACTCGTCTTGAAGTATCACTTGACTTGCTACAAAACGAAATGGATGTGCAGTGTTCGCTAGTATCCAACTATAAGCAAAAATTTGAGGATGAATGTAAGCGGCGGGAAAACGCGTTGGAAATTACTAAACAACTGGAAGCCGATTTGGAACATTTGAAAGAAGAAAAATATTCCATTGCAACAGAATCACAAGAAAAATTAATGCATGTCCAACATGAACTCCTTGCTAATGAGCTCGTGATTTGTGATTTACGCGGGAAAAACGGCCGGCTAGAAGATAAAATACGGGAAATCAAGACATCAAATGAAGAAAAAACAGAACAAATAAAAAAGCTAGAAAATGTGGAAATAACAAGAATACGTGAACTGGAAGCTGTGGAAAAAATCATGGAGAAAACACTTTTACAAATTCTTAATTTAGAACGAGCTTTATATGCATGTGAGGAGCAAAATGACTTAACAATCTTGTGCAGTGGTGAAAATAGTCGCATAGATAGGTATGACGAATTATCTTCAACGTTAATGCACAGATTTGAACGAGTTTTGGAGAATATCCAAACTCAATTGAGAAAAGCAAAAAAGTTGGGAAAAGACCTCACTGATGCTGAGACTCAGTCATCTATATACCGAGCGGAATTACAAGCTTTGGAGATTGCTTATAAGAACCTGGAAGTCGAATGCGAGCAGTTACTCAACCAGCTTTCCCTTGTAACTTCCAGTCGTGATGAAGCGCTTTGCAAAGTTGCCGAACTCTCCGAATCTTTACTGACCGCCGAGGAGAACGTGGAAAGAACGAAAATTTTGCAAAGCGAGGAAAACTCCAAAATCGCGCAAGAGTTACAGAAAATGCAAAGAGAATTGACACTGGCTTGTGAGAAGTTCAACTGCAGCATCTCCAAGGCTAGATCCCTAGAGGAAAAGATAGTGATCAAGGAAAAACGCATTGCAGACTTGGAGGAATCTTTGAAAATCTCTGGTATTAATGACAGAATGCTTCAAATAAAGGTTGCAGAGCTGGAGACCACAACGGAAATAATCTTTAACACAAACAAGGAACTGGGAAACGCGGAAAAAGAATCTGAGGAAAAAATAGCAACGTTGCAATTTAGCTTGCAGCAAGAAAAAGTAGGAAGAAGCGAAGACATTACGGAAAGAGCTGCAACTATACGGCAACTGGAATTAAAGAATGAAAATTTGGAGCGACAAATCATACGATCTAAAGAACTACTGACAAAAACAGAGAAGACAACTACAGGACTGCAAAAGAAGATAGAAACTTTGCAAAGTAGATATAAAGAAAATGAAACAGCTTGCAGCGCTGAGATTGCAGATTGTCAATCTACAATCTTAAAACTTCAGCAAAGTATTTTAAACCTGGAAGAAGATACCATTCGTTTTAGAAACGATAGTTATGTGTTGGCTAGGACAAATGAACACCTGCTGGAAAATATTGCTAACGTTGAAAAGGAAAACAAGGACCACAGAAATATTCTAAAACAAAACAAACAAGAGAAAGAAATTCAGAACAAAAGTCTTGAAAAGGTATTTGATGTAACATTGAATGAGGGAGTAAGCAATGACATAAACGATCAGAGTAGGAAGCTGGAAAGGGCGATCGAAGTGATTAAAGACTTAAAACGTTGCAAGGAAACATTGAGCAAAGAGAAAGAAGATGCCTTGGAAAATGTCTTGAAATTAAAGAAAAAGAACGAGGAAATCCATATGCAGTGTCAAACTAACTGTAAGGACCACGAACTGTTAAAAGAACACAGTAGTGAACTTACCGATCTAATAAAGAACCTCGAAAATGATCTGGATCGATCTAAAGTAAAATGCAAACAGCTAAACACCAAAGTACAAGAACTTGAAGAGAATGTAGAAACGCTAAAAGTCAATGAAGATCAACAACAGTACCAATATCATGTGTTAGAGAAAGAAAAGGAAGATTTGGAAAATGAAGTAATCTGTATTGAAGAAGGAACAGAGAAACTTATTGAAAAACTTAACGAATCAGTACATCTTCTGCATGATTTTGATCCAAACACGACCAGTGGCAACCTAGACGATAGTGGCATAGGTACCGAGGACAATTCAGTACAAATTATGTCCAGTCGTGAACAATTAGATAGTGGAGTCTTTAGTCCCGGTTTTGATAACTCTATTACATTTCCTCCAAACTACAAGTCAGAAGATGTAAAGGTAGGAAATGAAAAGATGCGACAGTTGGAAACGGCAGTAAATACGTGCGTGCAAATCATGTCAAAAGTCGGTCCAGCGTTTAATGAGAAATCAAAGTTCTTTTCTATTAAAGAACAACAACTTATTGAAGAAATACGAGTGTTGAAAGAAGCGTCTGTTCAAAACGAAGATATGCTTTCTTCTTTGGAGGAGGAAGTTGAAAGACTAGAGTTGTCACAAAAGTCATTACAAGAAACGTACCAAGAAAAAGATGTAAACTTAAAGGAATGCCAAATGAAGTTAGAACATTCGATAACAATCGCTAACGAAAAAGAAATGTCTATCACGATTTTAAACGAATCAGTCCAGGAATACAGAAAACAACAAGAATCCTTCGAAAAAGAACTAACTAACGCAAAGATGGCAAATGAACAGCTGAATAAAGAGAAATTACAGACTGCTATTACCATTCAAGATTACGAGAGAGCATTCGAAGAACACAGACAACAGTGTTTAGAGAGTGATGCTGAGAACGAAAAGAGAACAAAACGTTTACGTTTAAAGATAACCGAACTTGAGAGTCACATTTTAGAAAAGCAAAATGCACATTTGGAGCTTCAGAATGTCTGTACAACGCTTCGAGGAACAGTGAACCAGCTAAACAACCGAGAAAAAGAATATTCATTAACAGTCACATCGTATCAAGATCAAGTTCAGGACTTAGAAAAACAAAAACGCGAAGATACGAAACAAATGGAAGAGCTGTCTCAAGAACTAGACAACCGTAAGGAAACAATCGTGACGCTTGAAACCATGTGTCAGGAAACACAAGCGTCCGTCAATGAACTCAAGGAAAAACTACAAAAGGCGAGTACTGATCACGAGGAATCTTGCAAGGAAGTTATTTATTTTAAAGAAAAGATTATTCACATAAAACTTGAAAGAGATTCGTTAATAGACGATGCAAAGATTAGAAAGGAACACATCAAAGAGAAAAAATCTGCAATTGAACATATTTCGTCCGAATTAAGGGAGAAAGATGAAATACTAAGAAAAAGTGAAACGAAGTTGAAACTCGTCGAAGAATTACTTCAAGAAATTAACAAAACCAAAGATAATTTGGAGAAAGATATTAATGAAATCAAGGACGAGAACACTGACCTGAGAAAACAAATAGAACTACTAAAAAATGAAAACAAATGTTTTCTTGAAAGATTAGAGAAAAAGGAGGAAGAGATTATTGAAAAAGATAACTTGAATTACGAACTTGATAAAGATAATAATGAAATGAAATACGAATTGCTAGCAAAAAATGGTGCACTCAAAGAAGCGATAGGTGAATTACGTATGTCGTTAGCGGAAGCGAAAAGAATTAACAACGTAATTGAAGATTTAAACCATTTGTTTGATTCAAATACTGGACATAATTACTCCACTACTGACTGTCAAGAAGGCATGGATACATATAATAAGATTTTATTAATTGGGAGAAAGATAAATAATGTATCTCTTGTGTATCAGAAAATTGCAGTAGAGCGAGAAAGCTTTCAGAAGAATGTGGAAGAAAAAGTGTCCCTCCTACAGAATGAGAGAAGCGAGAAATCAACGCTTGAGAGAGAGAAACAGCATCTGGATGAAACAGTGTCTGCTTTATCCAAAGCCTTCGCAGAGGTAAAGTTGTCGTTAAGAAAACAAGAGCAAGAATTAGACCAAAACAGAAATGAACTCAGCACTGAAAAGAAAAGTAATGACGAACTTCATAACGTAAACCTGTCTTTACAAGAACAAGTTAAAATGCTCGAAGACAATGTTTTATCTATATCCACACACGCTGAGAGTCTGAAAGTGGATCGTAAGAATCTTAAAGAGTCGCTTATGAAAGCACAAAACCAAATGGCTAAATTAAATTCAAAATATGAACAATTGAATGTATTGAACGAGGAATTAAGAGCCGCCAAGAATACAATAAATGAACTGAATAATTTGCAAGATAAGACTATAACTGCTAAAGATAATGCTGAAAAGGAGTTGGAGTACACCCAGAAGAGAGTGGCAGATTTAGAGACATCACAGACAGGACAAATAAAGCTACTGAGTGATACACGTGTTACTTTGACACAGGAGAGAGAGAGAATTGTAACATTAACAAAACTTGCAAGAATGAAAGAACGTGATCTGGAAAATGCTAAAATGGCGATAAAATTAAAAGACGAGTTGATAGGACAAATGAAAGAGCAAATAGAAGAAATGAAAGACACAAGTTCATCAACCAAGGAAGAACTTGCAAATGCAATAAAACAACTCACAACTGTTCAACAACGAAAAGAAATTTTGTCCAATGAAAAGGTTTGTAAAACTGACTTGTATTCATTCATTGATATGCCAGTGTCCAGGTTAATCGTACCAGACGTTGAACACTCTGAAATGACAATCAGTTAACAGTTAAAATCTAACTGACGTCATTACGGTGCTGAACTCCGATGCAAAAAAACTTGTTGCAAGTGAACACTATCAAGTAAACATTATGGAATCTCATTTGCATGTAACAAAAATTCAAATATCGCAAGAACTAATAAACGAAAAAAATAATCATTTTGTGTCTGTTTTAGGTTACCCTTTGGAAAGATTGTGCTGTGCTGAAAGACCGCCTGGAACAAATACAAAAAGAGAAGCAAGCGTTAGAAATGAAACTTGACGGCGAATGTAAGAGGACGTCGATGTCGTTAGAAAAGCTGGAAAACCAAAAGCAAATTATTAATGATTTAAGAGATGAAGCTAAACTACAGAAACATCAGTGTGAACAACTTGAAAATGAAAAATCCAAACTAACAAACGAAGTAAAAGACAAAGAAGAGACACTCGAGTTCGAATATGAAGAACTACTTGAGAAATCTCATTTTCAAAAGAAAAGTTGGGAGAGTACTTTACTTCACATGAAAAGTGAACTAAGTTTGTCCGAGAATCTTAGAAGTAAACTTGAAGAAAGAATTGCTGGAAACGAAACGGATTTATCGGCTCTACAAGATCACAATTTCCAGCTGCAGGCAGAAATTGAAACTTGTGGTGATACGATCAAGGAACTAACTAATCAAAAAAATAACCTTATCACCGAAACCAAATGTATGAAAGAATCTGTGAAAAATATGTCAGACGAAAACAAGCGTTTGAAGAATGGTTATCAGAAATTACAGCAACAGTTAGAAATAATGAAGACAACTCTGGCTGGAATGGAACGTGAAAATAACATTTTACAAAAGAAGATATTATCTGGTAAAGAAATTATATTCACACTTAGAAACGTGGCTTTGAATTCCAAATCAGAAATGAACGATCTCAAATGTAAAGCACTTGAAAATACACAGAACCTCGAGAAAGTAAACAAGGAATTGGCGCATGAACGAAATACAGTATCGACGTTGATTGAAGATAAAACAAACCTTGAGGAATTGTATCGACGTAGTCAAAACCTGGAGAATGACGTGAAAAAAGATCTAGAAGATGCAAAGTTACAGATAAACGACATAAGAAATGAAAATCTTAATTTGAAAAAAGAAAATACATCACTTAATTGCAAGCTTCAACAAGGAGAAAAGATAATAAAAGATTTGAAGTGCGACATCCAGACTTTATCTGTGGAGAAACTGGAGATAAACAACATGTTAACAAAAACAAGACGGAGCCTTGAAAGAGCGAATGAAGATTTATATCGCGTGTGTTCAGCAGTTGCGAAGATAAGTACAACAACAAGGACCATGCTAAATGAAATCCATGCCAATGTTTCTGAATCTCATTTGAACATTTACAGTCATGAAGAAGAGAAAAATAATGAATCGTCATGTTCTTCCCCTAAACCGTTCGTGATGCGCGAGAGCTCAGCGACAGACGCTGTCTGCGAAGAGCTGTGTACTCTAGAAATGGCATTGGGACAAATTGATTCATCATTCAAACAACTTCTTGAAATTGAAACGACGCTGAAGAACAATATCAATGAACTCACTTTTGTGAACAAAAGATTAAGTGACCAAGATGAAAAACAAGAAGAGAAAGCGAAAGGTTTACAAGAAAATCGAAAAAAATTGCTTCAAAAGAACGAGCAGCTTCAAGCTCAAAATAAGGAACTTGAAAATTTATGTAAAAAGCTAAAAGAGGAATGTAAAAAAGTGGAGGAATTGCTTTCGAATGAATGTACAAGAACAACAGAAATTTCGAATGAATTATCAACTTTGAAAGACGAGAAACAAAGACTGTGTGAGAAGAATAACCAACTTGAAGTAAGTCTTGACCAATGCGTGAAAGAGAATGTTGATTTGAACGCCAAGCATGAAGGACTGAAGGAGATTGAAGCTATATGTGAAAAACTTAGCAGTTTAGAAAGAAGTCATGCGACACTTAGCCAAGAAAAAAGAGAAGTCAATGAAACAGCATTCAAAAGAAACGAACAAATTGTTGCACTGGAGAACGATCTGGAAGCTTCAGTTGAATATTCAGAGTTACTAGAAAGACGATTTACTGAGGAAAGCGAGAATAATACTAGTCTCCAACTGAGAGTGGAAACGTTAGACAGCCAAGTCTGCGGTCTGGAAGATAACCTGAAAACATCTCTAAGTCAAATCAAGGAAATGAATTCCAAGGTCGTGCTCATGGATGAAGAAATTCGTCAGACTGGCTTAGTTTTGTGTGAGAAAGAAAAAGAAATTTCTCGATTGAGCGAGGAACTGAAAAGAAATGATGAAAAATTAAAAAAAAGTACCATTCAAGCAGAAAGTTATAAGACAGCGCACGAGGGTATCCTAAAGTGCAAAAAAGAAACTGAAAACCAGCTAGAACAAACAGAACTATTGTTAAAACGATCAGAGAAATTGCTTCATCAGGAAAAACAATTAACAAATGATTTCACAACAGAAAAAGATCATGTTGAGAAAGAGCTACAATCCACCATCATGAAGCTTCAAGAAAGAGTTGACGTATTGATGTCCGAGTTGTCGGCTACTATGACAAATAAACAAACTGCAAAAGAAAATCTAGACTCCGCACGCGACACCATCAAACAACTAAAGAACGAAGTGAATGAACAACTACTGAAGATGAAAGAATGTGAGGGAAACCAAAAGACCAAAGAAGAAGAATTGGATAACTTAAAAGGTAACTACACCAGCACAAAAGCCGAACTTGATAAAACGCATAAAGAAAATGAGGAGTTACATGAAGATAATCGAGAACTGCAAGAAGTTGTAGAAAGACTGGAGGCTAAAATCACACTCCATAATCAAGGAAGTGAACAGAAATTAAAAGAAATTGAAAATCTGGAAATCCGATTTTCTGGCGAGAAAAAAGCCAAAGAGATTCTTCAAAGTGCGATCTCAACACTACAAAAGGACTTAGACTTTTTGAAAAAACAGAACAGCGAAAAAAAGAAACAGATTGAGTGTATTTTGGAGAACAAAACAGCGGAAGTCGAGAAAATATCTAAAAATCTTGTGGAAGAAATAAATAAAGCCGAAGAACTCCAGTCGAACCTCAATACAATGAGATCCGAGAAGAAAAAATTGGAACAGAGGAATGAAGTTATATCTCAAGAAATTTTCACGTCATGTCAATCGTTGATAAAGGATTTGGAATCAAGTGAATTTGGGAAATCATGTGATGACAGCCTCCTTGAAGGTTCTGATAGTGTAACCGATCTTTCCGAGATGCGTGGTATGGTTTGTTCATCGCATACACTCGTGAAGGATCAAATTAACCATTTAAATACGAAGTTATCAGAATTGAACGAAAGATTAAAAGAAACTGGAAAACAAAATGAAACTTTATTGGTTGAAAAAACCCAATTAGAAGATGATCTTCACAGGGTTAAAAAAGAAAGTGATGCGATACAAATGGATCGTAATTCATTGGTAAAGACATTCGAAACTTCTCAGCATTATCTTGAATTAAAAAGCAGCAAAATTCAAACATTGGAAGATGAAATTAACGAATTTCGACAGCGGGAAAAATGTCTTCACGAAACAACTAAAGCTAAGGAAGAAGAGTATCTTGTTCTGCATACCAAAATGGAAGTAATCGAGAAAACGAAAGCCTCTTTGGAGGAAGAGGTTGATACACTGCAGTTGAAACTTGGCAACACCATAATTGAACTAACGACTGCGAAAACTACCAATGAAGTTTTAGAAAGCAAGAATAGTGAGCTGATCTTCACAAATTCCCGTTTACTTGATGACCAGGCTTCTCTCCAAAATAAACTCAATGAAGCAGAAAAGGAAACCAAAGAGCTTTTGGAAAACCTTTCTCTGAAAGAAAATGAAATTTCGAGATTGAAAACGGAGACCCACGCGACAGAGAAAGGGAGAATTGCCACTGAAAAATGTCTAGAGCAGAAAGAAAACGAATTATCTCATCTTCAGGACAATTTGAACGAATTAGAAAGAAAGAAATATGATTTAGAAAACGAAATATACAAGTTAAGGGAATTTAGTAAACAAATAGAAAAAGATCATGAAGACCTACAACAAACGAATTCGCAGATACAAGCAGATAACTACCAACTCAGACGTGAACTGGAATGCGAACAAACTAAAAAATTAACGGAAGCAACTCGTTTACAATGTCACCTCGAGAAAGCACTTACTTCACTGGAAAAACAACATTGTAAACTATGTCATGTGCAGAACGAGAAAGATATCGTTCAGAATCAATTGCTGGAAGCTGAAAAAGAACTAACAGTGTTGATGGAGGACAATGCTAATCTAAAACACCAAATGTACCAGAGCAAGACGACCGACAAGGATGAATTGTTAAAAATTAGATATCAGGTATATATAGAATTACAGTTAATTTCTGTTACAATAAAGCTTTTAGGTAATGTTATAAGCAATGGTAGAACAAGTCCGTTGGTTAATGAGCTAAGGTCACGTCGTACGCAGGATACAAAATTCACACCGTAAACAAATGACGTTTAACGATTGAAAACGCCTACTGTGCTCGACGAAATAATTTTCCGTCTTACAATACTTTCATTGTCAGTTGTTTCTTTCATTGCAGAGTTTATTAGTTTAATTGTTGATAACCCCCGCCCCCAACCTTTATTTGTACTGCTCGAGCAGATCACTCAGCTAAATAGTTTTTGTGTAAAGCTGGGAAGCTTGTTTAAAAATTATACTGTATATCCACACCGGGCAAGATTGAAAAATTTTCCATGACCACGGTGGGAACCTGACCTGACCGCGTAGTTCAGTTGGCGGAGCATTGGGCTGGTATTCCAAAGGTAGGTTCGTTTCCCACCGTGGTCAGGCATATTTTTCAAGCTTGCCCGGTGTGGATATACACCTGAGTACATTACCCAACACGGAAAAAATCTTGTTTAAAAATTGCATATATGTTAGCACCAGTGCTCAGATTTCATATTTATTATATAACGCAAATTTATTGCATTTTCAACCATTTTTAGGCATCTGAATTACGACGAAAGGAAATGACTCTATCAGAAGAGAACAAATATTTGGCAGACCAACTGCGAGAAAAGTCAGCAGAACTCCAAAGATTAAAACTTGAAGAACAAAAGGTTAGAAGAGAGATGGAAAACAATCGTGAAAAGATGAGGAGATATTTAAATGACAGAGATAAATGGGAAGAGGAGGTGAAGTCGGTGATTACAGAAATTGGTCACAAGGAAAAGGGTGAATCAACATTGCATGGCGCAAACGTAAAACAATCTTTACCAACCGAAATTTAATATTAACAACACAAGTAAAACATAAACACGTCTTGCATTAGAGAGTTTGAGCAAGACAACGAAGTACGAAGACGAAGGCATACTTGACAATTTTTGCCGTCTGTACATTATCTTGCGCATACTGAGTTGGACATCACTGGTGGTTGCACAACGTGTCTTCCCATGTGTCGCTGTTTATGAATACTGACCATAATTCTTGCCCTGATCCAGAAAAAAACAGCGAGACTTGAAACTATATCCCGTCTTTGTCCTTCTGCCTTCGTGCAGAACGAAGTTCACAACGAATTTTGCCAAAATATTCGTTGTGAACGAAGGCAGAAGACGAAGACGGGATATGGATTCATGTCTCGCTGTTTTATCCTGATCAGGGTAAGGATTTGGGTCAGCATTCACAAACAGCTAGACATGAATCTCTAATCAGTCTTCACTCCTGACCCTAAACTCAGAATGCGCAAGGTAATGTGCAAGACAGGCAAAAATTGTCAACCACGTCGTTGTCGTCCGACTTCGTTGTCTTGCTCAAACTCTCTAATGGCAGTGTAGGACCTAAAACTGTTGAATATAGGTTTTGTATGTTGTTTAGTTTGCATGTCATATTTAGCGAGTGTTTTTGTTTTGGTACTGTAATAAAATCTAAGTGTGGAGGTTCTGAGCCCAAGTAGGAACTCACGGAGTGCTAGGCAGGTGTAAGTCTTTTAAGGGGTTTTACTAGGACACAGCCAAACGATTTAGTTATAGACGTAAATCTATGGATATCGTTGTAATTAACAAAAATACTGAAATAGAATTAATGTAAGAGCGTTAATTAAGGAATGTAATAAAAAGCACCATGCATTTTTACAGTTATTGTACATATACATATATATATTAAATGTAAAAATAAAATATATCATTCTTTGCCATTTTTCTTTTTTTATTACTCAGTCATTAGTAACTTTTTACATTCATCTATACAAACATCAGCCACGAGTGAAAAATATATTGTTGGATTCCATACTATACGTCATGGCAACAATGTTGGTTGGTACAGGAATAGAATTATAACAATACTTTTTTATGTTTTCATTATTTTTTATGCTATATGGGATATATGTTAATCAGGGTGTTAGCCAGGATTTCAAAAGTGGCCGCCCAAAATAATTTTGTGGGCGTGGTCACATGCTTTTGGGCGTGGCCGCAATTTTTTGTTGTTGTGGAATTGTGGTGTTCTATTCGTTGAACCTTTTTACTTTTAGATGCACATTTCAGTTATTAAATTACTAAAAGCACGCGTATGGTATGAACCGTGTGATCACTACGATGTACATACAGTATATGCTATAATGAAGAACACAATACAGCAGTGTAGTGTTTAGTTATTTTTTTATCAATCGCCGATATTTTTCCCTTTTTTTATGCGTTTGGCTCATTTTATAGCCATCTTTACCGTAACTGTAACTATAAAGCACATGGCGCTCGAGCGATAAAGCGATTGCTGTTTTTTAAAACGGCGGTTTCAAATTATTCTCCTTGATACTTCATGCGAGAATCATCAACATGGTTACAAAAACATGGCGCGTTTGTCGGTACTTCAATTCAGCCATATTCAGCGTGTTTTCGAGGGGAAAAGTATGAAAACATACACATAAGTAAAGTAAACAGCAGATGACAACAATTCGAAGTATTCAAGAAATATTACAAAGCTTGTAATTTAAAATTGCTATTTAAAGAAAATACTCCCTTAGGCCGTCCATGGCCGTCCATTAAAATTTAGCCGTCCGAATTCAGAAGTGGCCGTCCGTAGGACGATCCGACGGCCGCCTGGCTAACACCCTAATGTTAATAAATTCTTGCCAAATTACAATCAAACTATGAAATCAAACTAACAATCTCTTATAAATTACAATTTCGACGAATTACCAACTATAACAACGGCTTTCCCAAAGTTATCTCCAGTAAACAGTTCAACAAAAGCCTTTGGAAAGTTTTCAAAGCCATATGTGATGTGTTCTTTTACTATTATTTTGCCCTAAAATTATACAATAACTCAATGTGAAGACTGTAAACTTCTTTTATGCTTGACTCGTTGTTACAGAGTGACAAATTATCAGGAATAACGTCAACTGCACGTGTTGTTTTTAGCTTATGACTATATAACAAGTGCAAGAATATTAGATTTCGTTTTTACCAAGTAACTTAATCAGGTGTAACCACAACCTATCTGGGATCAAGAAACAATTCATGGTAATTGAGATGTTCGAAATTACAACCCGCAATTATTTAGGTACAAGAAAAAACAAAACCACCACTTTCGATGTGATTATTTCGACATCTTCCTAACTTATGTACATTTAGGGCAAACGTCTCTGTTGAGGTATTCAGATGGTTATGATGATCTACCATCAAGAAGGATGTAATACCGTACTCTGAGTGAATAATTACTTCAAATGGACTAAGTATAAACTACCCTTACTGTACCTCTTTGATCCATTGTACAATGTGTTTGCCTGCTATCGGGAAGTCACTTGTAAACTGCATTACGTTAAATCCTTGAACTTTAATTCGATTTCCTACTAAAGGCCACAGGATGTCTTCAACTATAACAAAATTATATAAATGAATATTCTGTATGTACAGTAACATCATTACATGGTCAGAAATTCAGTGAGCTTTACCATTTAAAATATGTATCTCATTAAAAATCGTTATAATACCAAGATTTGTAATTAGAACTGGTAAAAAGCAGGCGAAAACGATGAATGGAAAATGATGAGTGTATGGAAGGTTTCAACCATGGTGCATATATAATTATATAAGCGCCCTGGTTTCTACCCTGTTTCAACTGGAAGAGGCGCGTGGTCAAGTTACTTTCTATCTAGAATTACATGAAGTTAGTGTAAATGCACGGTACACAACCTTATAGTACCGTAGAACTACAGTAGGATTTTCTGCATACCGTAATTTACGGTATGTGCATCTAAATCACCCGTGGGATGTAAAATACATGGAAACAATTTGTTTGGAAGCAGGGTATCAGGCAGATAAGATAAAAACTTTATTTCAGGAGGGTAACACATTACAATATAAGATTGACAAACTTGACAAATTACAATTACAAAGTACAATATAGATTATAGTATAAAATATATATTGAATTGAATTTCGTAGAGATATAAGTAATATAGCCTGCAGGCCATATTTTCCTTTCCCTAAATGCAGGTGGATGGATATACTCTGCCTATAGGTATCAAGTGAGATGCTATTCTAAATTAATATCAAATAATGCAATCCTACTTACTTAATCCTGGTCTTTTCTGATTGTATGTTGCTATAGCACCACAAACTGCAACGCGACCATTATTATTCATTTGATAAATTACTTTTGAAAATCCTGGGCCACCAACCTGGTGGAGATTTAAAAATTAATATCTTTTAAAACTGTATAAAAATTGTAGTAGGTGTTTTTCTATTTATAGCACTGTAATATTTAAACTGTGAACATATATAGATAATGAATGAGACAAAGTGGAAAACGTCATTTAAGAAAACATGAAAAAAATTCAAAATTTATCTCTCATGCATGCTACCGTCATATAGTAGCACAGTGTAATTCAAAAAGACTTACATTTTCAAAGAACATGTCAATTCCATTCGGACAAGTTTCCTTCAATGCATCTTTAACAGATGTAACGGTCTTATAATTAAACACTTCATCAAAACCCAGACTTTTACAATACGCAACTTTTTCATCTGAACCTGCGCTGCCAACAACTCGACATCCTTTAATTTTTGCAATTTGACCAACAATAGCGCCAACTGCTCCAGCTGCACTGTTTACATACAGTGTCTCGCCTTCTTTCGGAGCCAAGATATTCAAAACACCAAAATAAGCTGTTAAACTAGAAACAAATGATTGTTGTTACTATTACCGTTTCCTTGTATCTATTTTGTCGTTGAGTTATATGTTTCCCAATATTTTGGAGTGACTGAAGTAAGGAACAATGAGTAACGGTTTCATTCATCGAACACAAGAGCTAATTACGACATTTTCCAAATTCGATGAACACTCTAGCCCTCTTTTTAAACAAACTAAAATAATAAAATTTCATGATCTTGTTGTTTTTCTTATGGCAATATTTATGCATAAATATCATAGTAATTTACTTCCGATCACATTTGAAAAATTTTTTGTTCGTGTTAACGAAGTTCACAACTATAATACCAGACTTTCAAGTAAGATTTCTTATTCAATTCAAGGGGTAAGGACTAATTATGGAAAATTTAACATTCGATTTCAAGGTGTAAAGGTGTGGAATGATATACATGAAAACTTAAAATACCTTTCTCCCTATTATTGACTCAGCCTATTATTGACTTCATTGACGGATATTAGTTTTTTATACTCAGAATGACACATTGTTTGTCTCTCTTCCTAAGGTTTCTTTTAAACATTGAGTGGATTGGTTTTTTGTTGTTGGTTTTTTCGATTTTTTTATTTTTTCTTCTTCTTAAGTAATTTATAAATTCGTGAATCCAGTCTGACTTGTTTCTGCTGCCTGATCTTATTTGCCATTATGGTTATTACAGGTAGCAGGTACTCTTCTTAAATATTTTTTCTCATATAATTAAAAAAATGTAAATATTTTATTTTTGGGTACAAATAAATCTTTGTTGTCTAATCATGACAACTTATAAGAAATATAAAGTTTATATCATTAAGTATACATCCACCTGTGTGCTAAGCACAGCGTGAAAGAAACTGAATGGCCTTGAGGATGGCGCCCCGATAACTTCTATACAAAGTATATTGAGCTCTGCGGGTGTACCCCATGCAGGACCGAATAAAAGCATTCCTCACATTAACCTGTTTTATTACGGATTTATGGAACTGGAAATAATCATTATCATCATTGTCGTCCTTGAAAGCAATACAGTATAATATATGAAATAATATAGATTTTTTTTTTTTGTCAGCTTTAGTTCATTTATTTACAGTATCTATAGTTTATATATTCAGTATATCTGACTATAATTATATGTATGGGGAGGCAGGATAGGAGGAGGACACAAGAACTGTTGATGTTCATAAGAACAGAAAGAGAGGGATTCAACTACAGACTAAAGCCCTGGGCAAACTAGGAAACATTGTTGCGGAAACATTGTTTCCTACCAATGTTTCGCCATGTTTCCAAGAGTGGGCAAACACTTGGAAACATTACTGAGAAACATAGGGAAACATCAAACGTTTCTGAATTTTCTAGGAAACATTTTTGCTTCTCGGGAAGCAAATTTTGTTTCCGCAACAATGTTTCCACGAGTGGGCAAGTTTCCACAACAATGTTTCCTAGTTTGCCCAGGGCTTAACTTCCCGACGAAGGACCTTTGCTCGAAACGTCGAAGTTTTACTTGTATTTTTCAGGCAGTCGAATCTCTCTCAATCCGCAGCTTTCTGGTGTTATTGTCACTATACCTACGCTGGCACAGACCGAGTTTATAGCAGAACAGAGACTAGATAATAAACAGTACAACGAATATTAAGAACGTCAATCTTGCAATTCATATAAATTACAATAACAAATTTTTAAAAAAATATATATTGAAAGACCTACCCCGCCAGGCCAAGAACACCAATCCCATAAGATAGTGGTAGATCACCAAGGAAATCTAAATTGGTCAACTTTTTCCCAGGCATAACTGCATGAGTTCTACATCCCATAGCTCCAGAAACTTTCGTTCCAATGGGCAATGCGTTTACTTTACTGTCAATCACCCTACATGTATACATTATAAAACAGCCCTTTTCTTTTATACTATATATACTATACATCTTATGGGGCATTTTTAAATTTACAAAACAAATGGGTTACAAATAGATCATATATGGTTCTGGACCAATGAAAAGGTAGAATAGACTCAGATTGTTATATGAACATGCAATTATAGCACATTGGTTATATTAGGAAGTATTCAACTCACTTAATTTAGCCATTAATTGGATTATTGTTAATTAATAGAATCAACAAAAATGCACGAGAAATTACTCTAAATACTGTATGTAGCACTGATTCCATGACTAGCTAAATTTCTGGTTTTTATATTTTTGGCAAGAAAGGATCGAAGGCCTTATTGTTTTGGCTATTTGATGGAATATATTGAGAGCGTACCATGATATTATTGTCGCGTTCCCAATTCGAGCACCTCGTGGGAAGAGTCGAATAGGAGTTCGTTTAGTGTTCAACCACGCAATAGAAGACAACTTTACACTTTAACTTTTAATATTATTCGTAGAAATGACATACACATTTACGTAAACACATATAGTCCTCAAATGCGCGGTGAAACTACATAAAAATAAAGGAAAAATACACACTATAACACACGAAAGGTAGACGATCAGTTCAATGTCAAAAGTCTGACGACTTACGTTTATAATGTCCCCAAAATTTAACAGGAAGATACATTAAAAGCGTCTCTAAAATATAGCTTGTCTCTATAAAATACAACGTTCCAAAAACGTTATTCGCGTTACTAAGGCAACCAAACCGCGCGAGTCCTGGGCCCCACCGTCCATATATCGACGACAATTCCCGACAACCCGACTCACGCCACGTACTTCTCCGAGTCAACATCACACTCCTCGCCCAAGGATATGCTATCCTTGTCATTGAGATCGTTGTCCTTCTCCGTTGGTAGCAACAACACTATTTCGCTGATAGGACGGTAGACTATCTTCCGTTTCCCTTCTTTGCACACCATGATCTTGACTTTCCTCACTTTTCCATCTTCGCTCGTTAATGCTTCTACTATCTTTCCCATAGGCCACTCGTTACGGGATACGTCGTTGTCTTTTACTAGGATTACATCTCCTCCAGAAAGGTTTTGTTCTCGGTTGCGCCACTTCGTTCTGACTTGGAGGTTTTGAAGGTATTCCTGTCTCCAGCGTAGCCAGAATTGATCGGCCAGGTACTGTACTCTTCTCCAATACTGACGGGCATACAGGTCTTGCGCCACGAATCTACCAGGGGGAGGTGCCAGTGGACGCTTCTTTGTTGTCAGCAACATAAAGGGTGTTAAGGGACTCGGTTGGTCGATATCGGTTGGGATCGCTGATATAGGCCGGTTATTAACGATTCCTGCGACCTCCGCCATCAAGGTGACCAGTAGTTCGTGATCGAGTTGAGAACTTCCAATGTTCAACAGCATAGCATTCAATACCCTACGAATGGTCCCAATCTGACGTTCCCAGACGCCTCCGAAGTGAGACGCATGGGGTGGGTTGAACTTCCATTCGCATCCTTGATCCCTCACGTATCTCTCGATGCTAGCTTGGTCCATTTCTTTGAGTGCTTCTCCGAGCTCCGTCTTTGCTCCAACGAAGTTTGTTCCACAATCACACCTGATTAGGGCGGCCGGTCCGCGTATGGCGAAGAAACGACGAAGGGCGTTGATGAATGAACTGGTATCCATCGACTGCAGAACTTCGATGTGGATAGCTCTGCTACTCATGCAAGTGAAGACAAGGCCCCACCGTTTTGATTCCGCAGCACCACCCCTTAACTTCCTTGTTCGGATTATCCATGGGCCAAATACGTCAACTCCTATGCTCGTGAAGGGTGGGCTTGGTTCGATTCGGTCTTTTGGAAGGTTGGCCATATGCTGGGTGAGCATTCTTCCTCTCAGTTTTCTGCACGTCACACAGGAATTCAGGATTCGAGACACCATTCCGTGGCCGCCGACGACCCAATAACCAGCTTGCCGTAGGGCTCCGTGCGTGATCTGACGGCCTTGATGGTAGACCTTGTGGTGATAATGACGGATCAACAACTCCGACACGTGGTGTTTCTTTGGCAGAATTGTTGGATGCTTCTCCTCAAACCCCAAATCTGATCGATGTATACGTCCTCCAACTCTAAGAACACCGTCTTTGTCGAGGAAAGGATCCAAACGAAACAGGCTGGACTTTCGTAACACCGTTCTTCTTTCTCTCAAGGACTGGCGACTTTCTGGTTCGTTGCCACTCCTCCTTTGCAATACGCTGATTTCGTCCGCGAAGGCTTCTTCTTGGGCTGTTCGAATTATCAAGATTTCAGCTCGTTTAGATGCGTCTAGGGTAGGGCCGTCGTTGTCTCCGCTTTCGGTCGTCTCGTGATCGTGCTGTGACGTTTGTGGGTCCGACTTTATTTTGAATCTTTTCGCTCTCATGACGAGTTTTGCAATGGCTCGCTGAAGAGTAGACCATTCTGAAAACCGATCGAATCGTTCTGATCCTAATCCGAGGGCTTTCTGGGTGCTGGTGGCGTGGACTTTTGCCTCTTGTCTGACTTCTGGATCGTTCTCGTCGATATCTCCGTCAGATTCGTCGACTGGTGAGGTGGTAAGTGAGTTCGACTTCAAGAAGGAGGGTCCTCTTAACCAGTCAGACTCCTGTAGTACTTTAACTGTAATACCTCGTGTCGCTAGGTCGGCAGGGTTCGTTGAAGTGTCAATATACTTCCATTGGCTGGGTTCAGATACATCTCGAATTGCTTGGACCCGATTCGCTACGTAGATGTGGAATCTTCTGATGTCGTTCTTGATATATCCGAGGACCACTTTCGAGTCAGTGTAAAAGGTCACGCTGTGGATTTCAATATCTAATTCTTTCGTGAGTTTCTTCACTGCTTGGGTCGCCAATACTGCCGCGCAAAGCTCCAGACGTGGGATGCTCGTAGGTTGGGTAGGTGCAACTTTGGATTGGCCAAACGCCAGGCTTACGCTAATTTCTCCTTCTTCGTTAACTTGTTTTAGGTACACGGCGGTCGCTATGGCATCTTTACTCGCGTCCGAGAATGCATGGATCTCACTGCGGGCGACACGACCAAAGTTCCTTGGGTGGTAACATCGGCTAACGGAGACATTCTCGAGGGCAGGGAGTTCACTTCTCCAAGATTGCCAGCGTAGATTCGAGTCGTCAGGAAGGGGTTCGTCCCATCCAAGGGGTTTATCTTTCTGTTTCTTCTTTCCCAGGACGACTAAGTGTTGTAGTAGAAGTTTTCCGACCAAGACAACAGGTGCAGCTAGTCCAAGAGGGTCGTAGATCGAATTTACTACGGACAGGACTCCTCTTCTCGTAAATGGTTTATCTGGCAGGTTGGCACTGAATGTCAGGACATCTCTCTCCAAGTCCCATTGCACGCCGAGTGTTCTTTGAGCAGGAAGGGTGTCTTGTCGCAGGTCCAGATCGCGCACAATCGTTGCTCGATCTTCAGCTGGAAATGCCTCCATCACTTCAATCGAGTTTGAAGCCACCTTGTGTAGGCGAAGGTTGGCGGTGGCCAATGCAGCTTGCGCTCCCTTTACCAAACTGATTGCATCTTCTTCGACCGGCTGAGACGTTAAGCCGTCGTCGACGTAAAAGTCCTCGCAGATGAACTTCTTCACGTCCGTTCCGTGTTTCTCCTCGCCGTCGTTTGCAGCTTTTCGCATCCCGAATGTAGCCACGGCTGGGCTAGGGCTGTTGCCGAAAAGGTGGACGGTCATCTTGTATTCGATAATCTCCTGGGATGGGTCATTGTCTTTGAACCATAAGAATCTGAGAAAGTCTCTGTGGGCTGGATCGACGTAGAACGAATGGAACATTTGTTCCACATCACACATCACTCCAACGCTTTCTTGTCTAAAGCGCATGAGTACTCCTAGTAGACTGTTCATTAGGTCTGGACCAACCAGTAGCTCCTTGTTGAGAGATGCACCTTTGTATTCGCAAGATGAGTCGAAAACCACTCGAATCTGCTCCGGCTTTTTGGGATGATAGATTCCGAAATGCGGTAGGTACCATACTTTGCCAGGCTTGACACCTGCTTTCTCCTCCGGGCTTGTGGATTTGCCTTCTTGTTCTGTAGAGACGTCGCTTCGTTGGACTGGAACGGCATGTCCGCGTTTGATTACTTTTCCGAGAAACTCCAAATAATCTTTCTCCATCTGGGGCTTTCTTTTGAAGGTACGCAGCAAACTCTGCAGGCGACTCATAGCTTGCTCCCGGTTGTTTGGCATCGTCACGTTTGGAGAGCGGAAGGGTAGCGGCATCTCCCAATTGCCAGATTCATTTTTGTGAATCCCTTTCTCCATAATATGAAGGAACTGGCGGTCTTCCCAAGACAAGCCGATTTCATTGTCTTCCGGAGTAGTTCGGTAAACGTTGCTCTTCGTTTTCTCTGAATGGTCCTTGATCTCGTCTTTAACTTCAAAGTAGTTTGGACACGTTACTGTTCGATATCCTGGGTGGGTTTCGAGGTTGGCGTGGGCACCTTCTTCGTGTTGTACCCTAGGTTCGATGACGAGTGTAGGTGGTGGCAGCTGTACGACTGTACTACGGGCTGAGATGAGTACTGGTCCTCCAACTCTGTCAAGACACATTTGACCAGACACCGTCCATCCTAGCGCAAGCTTTTGTGCCCAAGGTGCACCTTTGGGACCATTTTTGAAAGCCCTGACTTTCAACAACTCTGGGGCATCTCGGCCAATGAGGATACCGATCTTGGCTTCCTGGTCTAACGGTGGGATTTCTTTACTTACTTCATCGAGGTGGGGATAGTGCTTTGTCGTGGTTGGAGTGGGAACCCCTCGGTCTTGTCCTGTGGTATGTGTTCACACTCAACGAGGTTAGGTAACTTGGCGATTCTGCCACACATCGACTTCACGAATAGCCCGGATACTCTCCGACCGTACTTTGTTTCTTTAGCACCACTACATGTCGTAAGAAGGTATTTTTGCTTTGGGCTATCGATATCTAACAAGTCTGCTAGTTCTGGGCTTATCATTGATGCCAGCCTAGACGTAGGCCTTCTAGTCTTATTTATATTTTTTAGTATTCAGCGGTTTTTCACATGAAAAGACTGGGACTAGGTGATTTGGGGGCGGGGCGGAGGAAGCAAGCCTAGAAGGCCTAGTTGATTTCCCAACAACAAGGCCAAAACTGCCCTGAAACTGCCCTGGTTGCAAAATGCCCAATTATTGCGTTCTCAAACAGAATTATTTGCAACTTAACGGCGAATTTAAACCGATACAGGTAAAATAAACTCATTTATAGTATAAACTTACTATTTTTATTTGTATACACGTCTAGAAAATCGGTTTTTTATCATAAAGTTCGAAGCAACACTATTATTTAATATGTTGACAAGGTGTAGCGAAAGAACAAAATGAGTCAAAATATATACCAAAAGTAGAATCTTTCATGAAATTTTGTCTTATACACAAGTACATTAATATATATTTTCTCAATTTTGGCAAGAAGCAGTCTTGTGTTTGTAAAATATACAAAATAAAACGGATACATATATTATTAGCCCGTACAGTACTGTATATAAAAACGTACATTGTTTATACAAATGGTATATCTGTAATATTTGAACACTAATTTCAAATTCCTCATTCCCAATTCGCAAATATAGTTATTCAAAGCAAAACAGTAGATTGTCTTGCGAATAAAAGAATTATTATTTTGTGCCGTTTCGCTACACCTTGTCAACATATATAAATAGTGTTGTTTCAAACTTTATGATAAAAAACCCGATTTTCTAGACGTGTATACAAATAAAAATAGTAAGTTTATACTATAAATGAGTTTATTTTACCTGTATCGGTTTAAATTCGCTGTTAAGTTGCAAATAATTCTGTTTGAGAACGCAACAATTGGGCATTTCGCAATCAGGACAGTTTCAGGGCAGTTTTGGCCTTGTTGTTGGGAAATCCACTAGGCCTTCTATATTTTCGCTTGCGTCAGGCTTGTGTCCTTCCTCCGCCCCGCCCCCAAATTACCTAGTCCCAGTCTTTTCATGTGAAAAAGCGCTGAATATTAAAAAAATAAAAATAAAAATAGAAGGCCTAGGTCTAGGCTGCATTGATGCATTACTTTGATCATCCATTATAGCATACACCCGGTGAGCGTTTTCTGGTCTGTCTTCTGCATACACGTCTACAAGCAGGATCTTACTGCAAGATAGTCCTCCTGATCTCCCCTGACAGACAGAAGTGCATCGCGATTGTAAATCTTCGTTAACTCGCTCCTCGCCGTTATTTCTCTCCTCGTTTTCTTGCTTCTCGACCTTATCTTTGTGTAATATTGTTGGATGTCGTTCGCTCTTACACTTCCCGCATTTCACGTTTTCCTTACATTGCTTCGCTCGATGTTTCCCGATCAGGCATCGGAAACAGAGACCGGCTTTCTTAATCCAATCAGTTCTTTCTTCCAAAGTCTTTTTACTAAAGGCTTTACACTCACTGAGTTCGTGTCCCTTTCTTTCGTGAAATGAACAGAACCTTTCGTTCTTATTGTCAACACCAAACCCTTTGTCATCGTTGATGTCCTCCGCTCTTGTTTTGAACACACGATTGTCTTTCGGTCTTTCTCGCTTTGGATCTCTGAGTCGTGGATCGTTGGGGTTTAGGTGTTCACTAGCTACCACGTTCGGATAATTTTTCAATCTAGCTTGCTTCTGAATCATTACCGAGAACTGGTGGAATGTGGGATAGAGGTCGTTGTTCTCTTCCGCGTACTCGACCACTTCTTTCTCCCATTTGAACCTAAGGAAACTAGGCAGGTTGTCGACAATGGGCTTTATAGCGTTCGGGTAGTTGAGGCAGGCTAGTCCCGATAAGGTGGTCATTTGGTTGTCGACACCGTCACAGACGTCGGCGAATTCTTGTAACTTTGTCTTGTCTCGAACGGTGAATTTGGCGGAATCTTTCAGTCTCTGGAGGAGCGCATCAGTCAGAATGGCAGTGTTCCCAAACCGTCGTTCCAACTCTTTCCAGAGTTCGCGTAAGGTGACTGTGGGGTCATCTTGTTGTCTCTTCCTGAAGTGGTTGACCAAATCCTGAGCATTCCCCTTCGTGTAGTTCCGTAGGTAAGCGATCATCTCCTGGGAAGGGCTTAGATTTGCGTCTTGGGTCATTGCTTGGAACGACCCTTTCCAAGGGTGGAACAAGGTGGCGTCGCCGTCGAACACATCAGGGTGGCATTTCGGTAAATTCTGTCTGGCTAGGCTGGCTACTATCTGTTGGTTGGTTTGTGCTATTCCTTCGATACACTGGTTCGCAATGACAACTTCCGGGTGTGTGGTCAGCGGTTTATATATAGGTTGATTTCCTGCAAAGCCCCTAGGGATAAACGACTGGAATTGATCCTTTGCGACACCATCTCGTTTTTCTTCAGCTGGTGTGTTCATTGGTGGGTGGGGAAGGTCTATCATTTTGGTCTTGCTCGGTTGTTTGGTTGATGTTGTGTGTTGACCCACGACTGGGTTCGTGATCTAGCATCTTCGACACCTAACTGCTCTGCTAAATGGAAGTTGCGTCTTCTTCACGAATAGACTGTTCTATGGCCTTTAGCTTAGCGTCTGCTACTGCTTTTCTTTTCTCTGCCGCTAATATTGCCATGTCCCGTTCATGTTGCACACGCATTTGTTCCCGATGGAATTCTTGTTCGGCTTCGCGTTGCTTTTTCTCACTTTCTTTTTCGGCCATTAATTGCTCGAATTCAGCTTGCTTCTGGGCTGCGGCAGCCTCTGCTAATGCCCACCTCCAGACATTACTGGAGGTTGCAGATGTGCGGGATGACTTGGTGCTGCGTGTACGTTTAGAACTGGTCGAACCTGTTTTGGTGGCAAGGCGACTTTGTTGGCTTTTTGCTTTGTTCATTGCGGTAGAAGCATATTTTAAAGCGGGTTTGGGCATATTCTGTTACTTCAGTAATATGGGTACAGGCTTCACCCCATTTGGCTTGTTCAGAAAGTGTCTCAATGTCTTTGAGTATTGCTTGGTACTTGGTGTAAGCTTGTTGTAATGGTGCAATGACAGTTTCTATCTCCTTATCCGTAATATTTTTCTCCAATGCGGTCAAGACAGTATCTGATGACATATATAATGATTTTGCTGCTTTATTTAGTTCAGTGCTTTTATTTTGTATTGCATTGTGAATTGCTTTTTGCGACAAAGTTCGTTATCGTTTCTCCTCATTAACTGATTCTAGGGCGTCTGAAGTAGACAAATCAATTTCTCCCTCCTGTTGGTGAACCGATGGGTTCGTAGAAGTCTCCTTAGATTTCTGTTCTTCAGAATCTATAGCTAGTACATTAACACTAGTATCCCCAGACCCCTTGGGGTTCTCCACGGTTGATCGACTGCTATTACAACTCATCTACACAAATTTCTCCACTTGCACTTACTATTTTCGTTGTTAAATGCTCTCCAAAGGCGATTAAAACTTTCACTGTCGCGTTCCCAATTCGAGCACCTCGTGGGAAGAGTCGAATAGGAGTTCGTTTAGTGTTCAACCACGCAAGAGACGATAACTTTACACTTTAACTTTTAATAATCGTAGCGAAATGACATACAAGTTTACATAAACATATATAGTCCTCAAATGTGCGGTGAAACTACATAAAAATAAAGGAAAAATACACGCTATAACACACGAAAGGTAGATGATTGTTCAATGTCAAAAGTCCGATGACTTACGTTTATAATGTCCCCAAAATTTAACAGGAAAATATAAATATAGCTTGTCTCTATGAAATCTGATGAAATACAACGTTCGAAAAACGTTATTTCCGTTGCTAAGGCAACCAAACCTGCGCGAGTCCTGGGCTCCACCGTTCGTATATCGACGACAATTCCCGACTCACGCCACGTACTTCTCCGAGTCAACATCACAGGTAAGTTTGTTTTAAATATTGATGCATTGTTTGCTTTTAATATACTGTAATCTCAATCGGCTGTAATTACTTTAAAAGCCGATCGTTGCGTATATAAAATATGAAACAAGACAGCGTATTATTTCAGTGTTTCTTTATTGATTACACTTTTTATTATACTAAGCAAAGTTATTTACATGGGAGAATTTGGAATCATTTTATTTGGAACTCAAAGTTTATTGATAAAGGCAGTTCAGTTCTATATTAAAAGAACACTTTCAAACGTTTTGCGAAGTGTTTGTGGTTGAATTTTACCTTAAATTCAAGCTTATATTACGTATATATAATAACATACCTACTGTAATTACTTTAAAAGCTGATCGTTGTGTATAAATATGAAACAAGACAGCGTATTATTTCAGTGTTTCTTTATTGATTACACTTTTTATTATACTAAGCAAAGTTATTTGCATGGGAGAATTTGGAATCATTTTATTTCGAACTCGAAGTTTATCGATAAAGGCAGTTTAGTTCTATAGTAAAAGAACATTTTAAAACGTTTTGCGAAGCGTTTGTGGTTGAATTTTACCTTAAATTCAAGCTTATATTACGTATAATAACATACCTAACATATATATGTTTAGCAAATTGATAATTTTGTAATTAAAAGTGATATTTATAGGGGATTTTTCATTTGTAAAAACATTCTTAAAAAATTATCGTGTTACCGTGACAACTACTTAAAATACTTCACGTTCGGAAAATAAAATGGTTTTGTCAGCAAGGCGAGGGTTTCTGCATGCAATATTGAATATCATTTATGTATAAGAGAAATAATACAGGACCTAAAACTGATCCTTGTGGCACACCGCTTGTGATAGTCATTTCTTCAGATTGTACTCCGTTATATTTTACATATTGCTTTCTATTATATAGATAATTTTCAAACCATTTTTTTGCTGTTCCTCGTATACCATAATGTTCCAATTTTCTTATCAGAATCTTGTGATTAGTTGTGTCAAATGCTTTTGACAAATCAAGGAAAATACCAACAGTGAACTTCCCTTCTTATATTGCTTTAGTTATTTTATCAACAAAATCAAGTATAGCAAGTTCTGTTGACCTGTTGCGTCTGAAACCATACTGATGTTTTGATAATATCTTGTTCTTATCAATAAAATTTATTAGTCTCTTTACCATAAGCTTTTCCAGTAGTTTAGAAAAACAAGTAAGGACTGATATAGGTCGGTAATTTTCAAATCTATTTTCTTCATTGCCTTTAAAAATTGGCGTAACTAATGCGATTTTTAAATTATCTGGAATAATTCCTGATGAAAACGATAAGTTAAAAATATGTGTTAATGGCTTAGAAATTTCCTTAGCAGTTATTTTTGTGATGTTAGCATTAATACCATCATATCCAGAACTTTTGTTCAACTTCATATTTTCAAGTTCTAATTCAAGTTCATATTCCGTAATCGCATTTAGAAAAAAGTTTGACTGATAACTGCCAGAAAGATATTTTTCAAAACTCTCATTTTCATTGTGTTTGATTTTGTTTGCTAGAGTAGGACCTGTGTTAATAAAGTAGTCATTGAATTTGTTAGCTATTTCATTCGGGTCTTCAATTATATTTGATGAACAACTTTCTACAAACGTTTTTGATACTTTTATATTTTTAGATGGTTTGTTAAGTAGTTCATTTAGCGTTTTCCACATCATTTTTGAATTTTCGTTGTATTTAATTAAGTGTTCTTCATAATAAATTTTCTTTGCAATTTTTATGATATGGTTTAGTTTATTTTTATATTTTGTGTATTTTTGCCTATTTTTATTATTTGGATTTTTAAGAAGGGTTTTGTATAATTTATTTTTATTTTTAACTGACTTTAATATACATCTAGTCATCCATGGACTCTTTATTTTATTTATTTTTGTTTTGTTTTCTTTTCTTTTCTTTTAAGTGGAAAATTTGCCTCATATACACCCCATAAATAATTTCAAAAACTCATTATAAGCCTTTTCTGGGTCATTAGATTCGTTTAATACTTCATTCCAGGAAATATTTTTAACTGCGTCTTTGAACGATTCTATGTTAGCTTTATTATATTCTCTTTGATAGGTTACTGTAGTCTCATTTGTGTTTCTGTTTTTATCCAATATAATTGAATTAAAAATATGTACAATAGGTAAATGATATTTTCTGTGTTGGTGCAATGTACTCAGGTGAATTAGATGCTTGTGATGTTACTCTGAGTGTATATCCACACCGGGCAAGCTTGAAAAATATGCCTGACCACGGCGGGAATCGAACCTACGACCTTTGGAATGCTAGCCCAATGCTCTGTCAACTGAGCTACGTGGTCTGGTCGGTTCGAGTATGTGATATTTCGGAACAGAATCTAGTTCCTTCGATATCAATGTAATCTAGTAATAATGATATTTTCTGTGTTGGTGCAATGTACTCAGGTGAATAAGATGCTTGTGATGTTACTCTGAGTGTATATCCACACCGGGCAAGCATCTTATTCACCTGAGTACATTGCACCAACACAGAAAATATCATTATTACTAGATTACATTGATATCGAAGGAACTAGATTCTGTTCCGAAATATCACATACTCGAACCGACCAGACCACGTAGCTCAGTTGGCAGAGCATTGGGCTAGCATTCCAAAGGTCGTAGGTTCGATTCCCGCCGTGGTCAGGCATATTTTTCAAGCTTGCCCGGTGTGGATATACACTCAGAGTAACATCACAAGAATAGGTAAATGGTCTGAAATATCGCTAAAAACAACACCATTTACACTATCATTAAGTTTTTCTAAATTATTTGTGAAAATATGATCAATTAGCGTATTATAAATAAACCGTCTATTTTGTATCCATGCAGCTGCTTGTGTGCGACGTTTTATAAAGAATTGGATAAACATTTTTGATTAATAATGATTCATATAAGTAATTTTTACATATTGACCAAAGAATATCACTTGGGATTTTATTGTACTTTCATGGAAGGATACATACTCAGTGATCAAGTAATGTCCCAGCGGGCAAAATTACGTCGATTCAACGTTGAATCGACGTCGAACTTCGACATTGATCTGTCGTCGAAATAAGGTTGAAAACACAAATTGGATCGATGTCGAAACGACGTCGCAAAATGACGTCGGAAAAAACGTTTCAACGTAGAAACAACCACAATCATCAACATTGAAATGATCTTGTGTCAAAAGAGTCAGTTCAAAAAGCATCATATTTTGACTATAAAATATTTTATTTTATGAAATACCATTAATATTAATACTAATATAGCCTATATAATTACAGAATATATAAATGATATATCCTCTGACCATACTACATATATAAACATTTCACAACCTATCTACTAAAAGTCAATAATTTAAACAGTTTCTTTTCGTCCTCCTCCTCCTTGCCGATCTGGCGCATACTTGAGCAGTTGCTGTACAGCTCGCTCCCTGACTGCATTCTAGGCCCCTCCCCCCGCCAAAGATCTTTGGCGGGAAAAATTTTCTACTTACTTTTGGCGGCGCATTTCGGCGTACATTTTAGCTCATCCACTATTTTTGGCGGCGTGCAGTCTAGAAAAAATGGCGGATACGCAAGCTGCAAATGTTGAGATATGTTTAATATACTAAATTACTAATGAATAATACATGTTTGAATAATATATCATTTATTTACAGGTAATTGTTTTATTTAAATAAAGTTCCTTTTTTTCTTAACTTGTTTATAACCTTTTCTACTTGCACTGTGCAATTTTGTCATTTTTAAATCCATGTCGATTTTACTAAATTAAATTATAAATATATAAATACTCTTCAGGCATTCAGCAATTCCGTGATAATTATTTTATTTATGAATTGTCTGTCGAAGTTGTAGAACTAATAGATCATAAAATAATATATTCAAAAGTAAAACAATATCCCAAGTATGCCTGTTTTTGTTATATACCTGAAAATAAAGTGTTTTATTGTTGTAAATATCTCCAGTTGTCATTAATAAAATACTATTAATTTATTACTGTTTTGTCTGTATGTGATTATGTACATCATTCTGGATAGGCTAAATATAGTTGAGTGCTCTAGGAGTGTAGATTTTCAAGGCAATACAACAGATTGTTACTCTAAAATTAGTATAACAAACAAAGCAATCTGTACATGGCCACATGGCTGGCATGGACACAATGCTGTATCTTTGTGAAGTATCTGAGATATCTTAAAATTATTGTCAATAATATTTAAAATAAACCTCATACTTGTAAGCATCTGTGTATTTTATATCTCTACAAATTTTGATGATCTGCTATTATGACAATATGACATGATATACAACATGTTAATTGTTACATTTTATATTTAAATAAAGGAAACTTGTCCTGATTCCTAATAAATCATATGACCTCTTGTTGTGTTTGTGGACTAGAGTCATCAGGTGCTCATTCATGCTCATCATGTCTACAAGATGTTCATGTCATCTGTGGAAAAATAAATGGTGACGAAGGCTGGGGTTGTTCAGTACTTTGTAATAACTGTGCAACAGAGCCACCTGCAAAGAAAACATCCTCTTGGAGCATTGCATATCCTTCCAGATCACAAGAGCTAAAGCATAAGGTTCCAAATCTGAAACAGCAAACTGAAAAAAGCGAATGGAAAACCCATTGTGTATGTCTAACATGCTTTGAAAATGGAATGGAACCGAATATCTATGTTATGAGCAGAAGGGACAGCTCTACAAAGAATAGACATGTTTTGCAACGTCACCCTCAAGTAACATTGTCTCAAATTAGCATTGTAAACTTTGATTCAAATGGCAAAGAAGTCTCATTGGCCAGGGAAAAGTATTATGCAAGCACTAACAATGACAAATGTAAGAAAAATACTTCTAAAACTCAAGGAACATTGTTTAATTTTTGTTCAGTTAAACCTGTCGGAGAAGATTCCCCCACATTTATCTACAACAACAAAAAAGATGCAAGCAGAAGCAATAAAGTAACGATACCACACACTGAAGCAACAAAAGTCATTTGTCAAGGTGCTGTTGCAGAAGTAAAGACACCAGACACTGAACCAACAACAACCAAATCAACTGCTGGGGGGCTTGCTGAAGCTGATTGCGAAGATACAGTTCCACATCAGAGTCACTTGTGTACTTGTAAGCATAATACCAACCTATTAAATTCCAAAATGGATGAAATGATTCAGGCAATGAAAGAGTTTAAAATTAAAACATCCACTCCTGCTCCAACTAAACCTGTTATTTCATCATTTCTCAGTCTTCAAAATAACAACGTGACTGACTGGAAGAAAATAAGTAACGTCATAGACTTGACACAGTCAATTCCAGAAATTAAATTCTATGGTGGAAATCACGAAAATAGTCCTTCAGTTTTGAGATGTGAAACATGCTTCCAACTGCTTTCAAGTAGGTTAACAGGAGTCAATGCCGCAGCAGATCCACGAAAAATAGCACTTAAAGGGATAGGAAGATATGCAGGGTCATTGTCATCCGGACTTCTTTTAACCTCAGAGAAAACAGAGAGTATAATTAAGGGAGGCAATAATTACTGGTATGGAATAAAGAGTGCAGTCAAACAACATACTTCTTGCGATGGAGAACATTCTCAACTTCACTTCGAGGCACTCCAGTATGCAGCAACGCTGAGGAAGAGGAAGTCAAGAGGACTCGAAGTAACCGAAAAGCTAATACGAATAGCATTGTCTGTGGTAAAGTCGAAATCAGCAGCTCAGCAATTTGAACGCCAAATAGCAGCACATATTGCTACAGGGAGTGATTTGAGTGATCTTGGTCATAGTAGAAACCATTTCAACGAAATTCTGTCGACAATAAATGTGTGGCTTGACAAACAAACAGCCAAGCAAATTGCAAAACCCTTGCCTTCAACCGGTTTCCAGCCTCATTTCTATGTTTCTTGTGATAAAAGCACTCCTCATCGAATTTCCAACCACGCCATTATCATATGCCCAGTCGTTAGTGGAAAGCGTGTCGCAATTCCAGTAAATTAGCCTGAGGTTTATCCAATAGATTCGTTGAATAAAGACGGTGTTTCTGGGGGTTGTACAGACCAGCTCGCAAAACAAGTTGTCAAAACCATTAAAGAAGCCTATGGTGAAGAAGAAAGCTTCGATCTGAAAGCAACCTGGCAAGGTACCTGTTGTGATGGACAATATCAAGCAGATGGATTTAAAACTACCATTTATCAAGAGCTTGGTGTCCTGATTGATCCTGTGTTTTCAGTGGTAGTTTGGGACCAATCCCATTGGATAAATCTTGCCATACTCGATATCAAAGATGGAAAGATTGGCTCATCGTCTGGCTTCTTGACATCTCTTGTGAAGAGGTCAAAGAATATCCATTCAACGTTCCAAAGGGGAAAGATGCTGAGTAGTGTTATAGCGCTCGCAAATTCCGAGAAGCTCTAGCTAAAGATGACAAGAGGCAATTGTGCAACAAGATTTTGGTCATCACAATACATGGAATTCAACACCATCATTAAGAGCTACAAAGCTTATACAACTGCCTTCAGAAGCTATGGCTACAGTGAAATGAAAGAATATGACATTCTCGGCACGGACTTTGTGTTAGACCTATGTTGCATATGTGATTCAATGAAAAGTGTTGTTGACTTGATGATTGCTGTCCAAGGACTGGGCTGCCCTTGTTGGAAAATATGCATATGGTGGCCCCGTGTAAAAGCATTTTTAGAAAGTCTACTTGAGGAAGTTATAATTGACCCTTCTGAGTCGATGCCCATCTTGAAGAACCACGTTGATGAAATAATGAAGGGAAGTTTCAAGGGCCAGAAGCTGGTGCAAGGATGGAAACTGGTGTCTCAAGATGAAACCAATTGCTATTGGGAAGCAAGAGACATTGAGGATTGTCAAAGCAATTTCGAAGTATTTGTCAAAGATACAGTAGAGTCAATGAGCAGAAGATACGACATATGCGTGCCAATCATGTGCGAAATGTTGACGTGTCTTGATTTAGAGTCCATCATCACTTTGCTATGTGGTAAAAGGCGAGATGGCAAGCCATGCATAAATGAGGGAGATCTTGAAGAATATGGGACGGAAGGCTTCAAGGCATTTATAAGTCATATATGCAGCATTACGCATGTTAAATTGGCCATTGAGGATGGTGCCATTGATCTTGACCCTCAGCTAAGTCACATTGTGCACCGAAAATTGAAGCAAGCACTCAAAGATATTTTGTGGCAGGGTAGAGAAACCATGATCAATGGTTTGATTACGTCCCGTCTGAGATCAGTGGGAAAATTAAACCTCTTTCTTCTGTTATTTCTAAAGATAGTGGTAACCTATCTTCCATGGAGAAAGTATTGGAAGACCACTCGTCCCAGTCGTTTGTCACCACTAGATTTCATATGCGATTCACGAAAGGTGAGAAGATATACACAGTCCAGTTGAACGAGCCCGCGGTTTATTTGTCGTTGTATACAGATGAATGTGTGTATTCCAAACTTGGCAAAGAAATATGTTTGGTCATCGATATTGCACTTGCAAAAGGTGGACCTGAAGCAATCGTCGAGTCATTCTACTCCCTGATGAAGTGCCACAAGAAAGCTGGTGGTCAAAATAATGAAAACCTTTCCTTACGAACAAAGTTAGACTGGAGCTTGCCCGGACCGTTGCAAGCTGATCGCATGGTTAAGGAAGTTGCCCCACTTTATCTTGACGGAAACAAGAAGAAAGGCCTAAAACCTCATTGGTTACCTGTTATCGGGGACAAATGTAACTATAAGACAAGCAAAGTTATTGACAGAATTGAAAATGCTGATACTAAGTTGCCATATGTTTTGTAGAATTTGACAACTGTCAGGTTAAAAATACAATAATTGTAACGTTTTATATTAGCCAGAATATTTAAATTCTCTTGTGTAATACTTGTTTGAAACTATACTGTAGTTTATTCGAAAATTAAACTATATATGTTTTGATTGACACAGTTCTGCTGCTTTTGACGTTTTTCGATTTACCAGGTTGTGTGTTTGATCAATAGGTCAATTTCAGTGTTTCTGTCTGGGAGCTAGCGATAATTACATCATTTGGCCCAGCACTGCTGCCACTGCGTTGGCTCAGATTAGCGATAATTACGTCATTTGGTCTGGGAGCCTTGCTCTCGTGAATCGTGAGCCAATCACCTTGCGTAATTTACTAATGAGAGCAAGGCTCCAGGACCAACAAGTATGTTTGACGTAATTGATGCGTCAAAATGATGTCATCGGGCTCCAATTTCCATAGAGATTTCTGCACCTTTGGCGCATGTAACTTGACTTTAGATAGTCTTTGGCGGATCGAATTTTAAAGCTGAATTTCTGGTGTGAATCTTTGGCGGCGAGAAAAGGTGGAATGCAGTCGAGGCTCGTTCCACCTCCGCTTCCGTCGTCTTTTGATTTTTAACCACACATTCTGGGAACACTACAGAGCACAATATTAACAATGGGTTTTCATTATATGACTACCATTGGCAAGCATCAGCTATGCGATATGATTATAGTTGCGATTATATTTATAATTTCGCGATAGGATAACGATCCGGAAAATCCCCATAATATTGCTTAGGGACATTAATGCCCTAGGACAAAAAAAAACAGTCAAAAATGGAAAAATCAAAAACTATTCTTTAAATGGGAAGAAACAAAATTTTTGCCAAAAATTTAAATGGGGAAATTAACCATGACTTTTAATTCTGATCAAGTAATTAAATTTAAGCTGGACTTTCTCAAAGAAAAGTTGATGTTGTAAATTAGCCTTTCTCACAATGACGAAATCCGCCATTTTTGGGTGACATCTTATTCTCGTTAACCAATTAAAACAATCTGAAAAGCAATTTTTCAAAATAAACTAACCATTTACAAAGCAAATTTACCATCATTCGTACAAAAAATTATAAAAAGTCACTGTTATGTGAACTTATCTCGCAGACTTCGGCTGAAATGCCACCCAAAAATGGTGGCGTGAGAAAGGCTAATTGACTATGGATTCTTTCAAACTTAATTTGTTCTTTCTTCTTTCCAACAAGGGGAATTTCTGTGTTTAGAACAGCTATACACAGCACAACATACACAAACATGTTTGCCATGTAGTAACACCCTTGTTTAAAAAACATTTAACACTTTTTGAAGTAAGGCAGGTTTGTTTGCAATGGCATTCGCTCGAACCGTTGAGGCTTAGTTCAAGGCACATGAGTTAATGTAACTTTTACGAATGCGGTGCTGCAGGAAAATACACCACAAAGAGTACACTGTCACATACCTACAACAACTTGAAATACTTTAGTGGACCCAAAAGCATATTTTGAGCCTTTTCCTTTCATGTTCATTGAAGCCATAACTTCATTATTCATCAATCTAAAAATGAATTGGAAATATTGATAATAGTTCCCAATAGCATGAAAGGTGACTTACAATCTACAATACAGTATATAAGAACACCAGCACACTTTAATTGTGTTGTCGTACTTTCATGGCTATTTACCTGTGCATCACATTGCGGACATTCTCTCTGATGTTCAGTCCTCCAACATCAACAATTCTTGATAACTGCAAAACAATTGTCCTCCATATCACGACTAAAGCAGGTTATGTGAGGATTGGGCATACATGCTAATTGAGTCAGACGTTGAGTAATAGAGCATGCACATATATTTACAGCTGAGTCAAGATATAAGTTTAAAAAATAATTGGTTAATAAACTTTCTCGGTTCATGAACAACTGAAGTCCTCTACAGCACGCTCATACTTCTGTTCTTCATACATCGAAAAATTGCTTGAATTAATTTAAATGCTGTGGTCAATTCAAGAATTCGTAGGCAGGTTCAAAATTATGCTTTCTCTAGCGTCTTTATCAGCAAGACTGGCGTCTAATCGTTTCAGTTCCTCCAAGCTCGTTCCCTGATCGATCTGCATTTCAGAATTGGCAGGAGAACATCTTTTTCCCACCTGGGCTACTGTGTTATGGATTTCAGTTAATAGCTGCAAAACCCTTCTTTTAAATCCTATAAGTTAGAATAATTGAAAGTTAAAGCAAAGACAATGATGATCGCATCTAAGGGTCTGAATATGCACTATGCAGTGGTGACTAAATTTCCTATATTTACTCGAGTAAAAGTTGAAGTAATCAACTTTAAAACGACTTGAAGTCAAAGTAAAAGTATCGCGGATAAAAACGTACTTGAGTTATTAAAAGTATAATTAGTTTTAAAAACACTTGAAGTACAAGTAAAAAGTACACTCGATTGCAGCCTCTGCACATACGTCATATTTTTAACAGCACTTTTTCACAAAAGGCTCATTGGCGTAGCTCTATACAGGACACCAGTGGGCTACGTGTACACTTCGGGAAGACAAACTGTCAATGTTACGAATCCGAAGTACCAATTGTTACTTATGTTTCCTCTTGATTTTTAGCAAAAATCAAGTTAAAAGTAATGAAAGTAACAAAATACTTCAACACAAAATGAAAATAATGAAGTAACACGTTACATCATAAAAAGACTTTTGTTTCAAGTTAAAGTACTCGGGCAAAAATGTACTAGGTTACATGCTTTTTTTTTCCTACTCAGAACTTATTCTTTGCCAATTCACATCAGAAACTGCAAGGATTTTAACATTTTTACTAAATTAACCAAAGATTTTTTAATCGAACAGAAGAAGTAATTAATCTCATAAATGTTATATATTGTTAGTGTACATAAGTACAGTAACAAAGTACATTTACTTCGTTACCTGCCACCACTGGCATTATGTGTACTTACTTGCTTCTGATATGGGAAATCCGCTGTTACTCCTAGTGACGGTGTTCTCAGTACCAAATGTATGTTCATGCTGTCTTTCTGGTGACCTCTTTTCTGCCAAACTTTGTCTCTTGGGTTGTGGAGCTGAAGGCCTGGATCTAGTTCTTGATCTGGACCTCGTGTTTGATCACAATCTCGTTCTATAACTTCTTGTTGATCGTGAACTCGTTCTAGACCTTGTTTTCGATCGTGAATTAGACTGTGTTTTTGATCGCGATCTCGTTTTGTGACTTGTTTTTTATCGTGAACTCGATGTAGACCTTGTTTTTGATTGTGATCTAGACTTCATTTCTGAGCGTGATCTTCTTCTTACATTTGGAAATAATGTTGCTAAAATATATGAAACGCACAACAAAAAACTTCCGAGATACTATTTATGTTCTTGGGAGATGCAACGATAACATTGTTACATAAGTAAATACCGAAAGCACATAAAACACAGTTCGTTGAAATAAAAAAAACACATTTCCTCCGTTCCGCAGATGTGATACTTAGTCCTTGATAGGCTGAATCGAGCGAATCAAGGTATGTATTAAATTAATCGACTTAATAGTCAAATGCTCTAGTATGCAATATTTAACAATTATTGAATGAGGTTGAGCATGATATGAAAAAATTATCAAGCCCGAACAGAGGGCTTCATAATTCTTCATATTGTGCGAAAACCGAATTCAATAATTGTTTTATTATTTATTTAAAAAATTCAAAACAAACACATTTGTATTTTATTTGTATTAAGAAAAAAACAATTCCTTAATCCTTCGGCAGCCGTCGTCGCGTTATATCAATGTCGTCAGCGAGTCAATATGATTATCATTGTCACAGTAATATGGCGCAAACGCGTCCAAATTTATTTCATATTGACTCTTCAACGTCATTTTGCTAATGAATGTGAAAAATCCGTATTTAGTTAGCCATTGAGTTGATATGACAATTTCACAGTCGGCTGTTAGCCAATCAGAAACCAGGATTTTTTTAAATAAATAAATAATACATATTGTTGTTGCTTTACCTGCGGCTTGTAAAGGTCCACCGTTGGATCTGCAGTTTTCTTTTGAAGGGGTCTTTTCAGAGAAAGTTTGCTTCCCTGATCCAGAAGGTTTGGACCTCGTTATGGATCTTGATCTTGACCTCGTTTTCGATCTCAAACGCACAGAGGATCTTGATTTTGTTTTGGGAGTTCGACCGTAACTTCGATCCGGAAGGGCAGTCTAAAATTAGTAAAATTGAAAGATACAAAACTTTAAGACTTCAACAGTCGCGTCATATCAATGGCGTCAGCGAGTCAATATGATTATCATTGTCACAGTAATATGGTGCAAACGCATCCAAATTTTTTTCATATGGACTCTTCGACGTCATTTTGCTAATGTGAATGTGAAAAATCCGTATTTAGTTAGCCATTGAGTTGATATGACAATTTCACAGTCGGCTGTTAGCCAATCAGAAACCAGGATTTTTTAAAATAAAAAAATAATACATATTGTTGTTGCTTTAGCTGCAGCTTGAAAAGGTCCACCGTTGGATCTGCAGTTTTCTGTTGAAGGGGTTTTTTCAGAGAAAGTTTGCTTCCCTGATCCAGAAGGTTTGGATCTCGTTATGGATCTTGATGTTCACCTCGTTTTCGATCTCGAACGCACAGAGGATCTTGATTTTGTTTTGGAGTTCGACCGTAACTTCGATCCGGAAGGTGTCTTGGAAGTTGAGGAAGGGCAGTCTAAAATTAGTAAAATTGAAAGATACAAAACTTTAAAAGACTTCAACAGTCGCGTCATATCAATGGCGTCAGCGAGTCAATATGATTATCATTGTCACAGTAATATGGTGCAAACGCATCCAAATTTTTTTCATATGGACTCTTCGACGTCATTTTGCTAATGTCAATGTGAAAAATCCGTATTTAGTTAGCCATTGAGTTGATATGACAATTTCACAGTCGGCTGTTAGCCAATCAGAAACCAGGATTTTTTAAAGTAAAAAAATAATACATATTGTTGTTGCTTTACCTGCAGCTTGTAAAGGTCCACCGTTGGATCTGCAGTTTTCTGTTGAAGGGGTTTTTTCAGAGAAAGTTTGCTTCCCTGATCCAGAAGGTTTGGATCTCGTTATGGATCTTGATGTTGACCTCGTTTTCGATCTCGAACGCACAGAGGATCTTGATTTTGTTTTGGAGTTCGACCGTAACTTCGATCCGGAAGGTGTCTTGGAAGTTGAGGAAGGGCAGTCTAAAATTAGTAAAATTGAAAGATACAAAACTTTAAAAGACTTCAACAGTCGCGTCATATCAATGGCGTCAGCGAGTCAATATGATTATCATTGTCACAGTAATATGGTGCAAACGCATCCAAATTTTTTTCATATGGACTCTTCGACGTCATTTTGCTAATGTGAATGTGAAAAATCCGTATTTAGTTAGCCATTGAGTTGATATGACAATTTCACAGTCGGCTGTTAGCCAATCAGAAACCAGGATTTTTTAAAATAAAAAAATAATACATATTGTTGTTGCTTTAGCTGCAGCTTGAAAAGGTCCACCGTTGGATCTGCAGTTTTCTGTTGAAGGGGTTTTTTCAGAGAAAGTTTGCTTCCCTGATCCAGAAGGTTTGGATCTCGTTATGGATCTTGATGTTCACCTCGTTTTCGATCTCGAACGCACAGAGGATCTTGATTTTGTTTTGGAGTTCGACCGTAACTTCGATCCGGAAGGTGTCTTGGAAGTTGAGGAAGGGCAGTCTAAAATTAGTAAAATTGAAAGATACAAAACTTTAAAAGACTTCAACAGTCGCGTCATATCAATGGCGTCAGCGAGTCAATATGATTATCATTGTCACAGTAATATGGTGCAAACGCATCCAAATTTTTTTCATATGGACTCTTCGACGTCATTTTGCTAATGTGAATGTGAAAAATCCGTATTTAGTTAGCCATTGAGTTGATATGACAATTTCACAGTCGGCTGTTAGCCAATCAGAAACCAGGATTTTTTAAAATAAAAAAATAATACATATTGTTGTTGCTTTAGCTGCAGCTTGTAAAGGTCCACCGTTGGATCTGCAGTTTTCTGTTGAAGGGGTCTTTTCAGAGAAAGTTTGCTTCCCTGATCCAGAAGGTTTGGATCTCGTTATGGATCTTGATGTTGACCTCGTTTTCGATCTCGAACGCACAGAGGATCTTGATTTTGTTTTGGAGTTCGACCGTAACTTCGATCCGGAAGGTGTCTTGGAAGTTGAGGAAGGGCAGTCTAAAATTAGTAAAATTGAAAGATACAAAACTTTAAAAGACTTCAACAGTCGCGTCATATCAATGGCGTCAGCGAGTCAATATGATTATCATTGTCACAGTAATATGGTGCAAACGCATCCAAATTTTTTTCATATGGACTCTTCGACGTCATTTTGCTAATGTGAATGTGAAAAATCCGTATTTAGTTAGCCATTGAGTTGATATGACAATTTCACAGTCGGCTGTTAGCCAATCAGAAACCAGGATTTTTTAAAATAAAAAAATAATACATATTGTTGTTGCTTTAGCTGCAGCTTGTAAAGGTCCACCGTTGGATCTGCAGTTTTCTGTTGAAGGGGTCTTTTCAGAGAAAGTTTGCTTCCCTGATCCAGAAGGTTTGGATCTCGTTATGGATCTTGATGTTGACCTCGTTTTCGATCTCGAACGCACAGAGGATCTTGATTTTGTTTTGGAGTTCGACCATAACTTCGATCCGGAAGGTGTCTTGGAAGTTGAGGAAGGGCAGTCTAAAATTAGTAAAATCGAGATACACAACTTCAAAAGACTTCAACAGAGAATCAGGTTTCTAGAATGTATACTTTTTCGACTGAACATCTAAATAATATCTAATTTTTCTTAAATGCGAAAAGCTTACGTTCATTCGGTCGTTTGCTACATGGTTTGTTATTCTCTTTTTCTCGAAGAGAACTTCTCGATCTTGACCGTGATCTTTTTTGATTCTTTGACGTCTGAAATTTCATTGGTGGAGGTGGAAATTCTGATATCGCTAAAAAATAAACAAGCGTCACTAGAATAAAGTTCACGAATGGGTTTTGAGTAGATGCAGTATCACACACATATGTGTTGTATTGTACTGAACTAGCAGAGCAAAAGCATAAAGCACAGAGCATACTAAATGGACGAGGTTTTAAAAGTTGATTCTGACACATACAGTTGGCATCTTCACAGTCATGATCTGAATTATTGTCTGACGAGTCGAAAATTTGTTTCGCTGCAAAAGACAAAAAAAATTATAAGTATGCAAAGTACAAAAATAACCTATAAGATAATAAGGTGGCAAGTTTCCAAAGATTTCTCTTCATGGGAAGGATAAATACTTGAGCATTAAAGTCTTCGTAATAATTAAAGCCTGTTTTTCACTTCGCCCGTATCGTAGCGAAATGTACTGGTGAGCATGCGCAGATTGAAAAGAGGTTTATAAGTCCGCATACTTCCAGGTGTATTCACGTAGCAAAATGAAATGTTCATTGCAAGTCAACTTTTTGGCGTCCTACAGAAGTACTAACCAATCAATATTTACGAAATTTTGAAATTTAAAAACATTTTGATACGATACGGTACTGGCGAAGTGGAAAACAAGCTTAATGATGGGTAAAGTCTGTTCTGCGTGTATGTTCTGTTCATAACACTGTCATTGCTTACATTACGTTATTTGGCATATTTGTACATTTTGTAATACGATATAGTCAAATAATCAAATTAAAATTTCAATGGTCGGGGACCTCTGCAATCTCTGGAATTTTGATATGTGCAAAAAATATGCACAGAAAGGACTGTAGCTCATCTTTAGAAAACACATATATTCTAACAGCTAACCTTTGGCACCCTTTTTTCCCCGACTTGCCTTCTGTTTCTTATATTCGTCTTCATCATCATCACCTACTTCAGCAGTGGTGGTAAATTCATAATTGTCGCAAACTTGTTTTGTCATCTGGTTTAAAGAACAAAGTACTTATGCGTAAAACTTTCATAGTAAAAAACAGAAAAATGTAGAACTGTGTCGCTGCAACAGTATTTTGTTAGGTTATTAATACGTCACACATATTTGTTTTTTCATGCAGTAATACGTATTTTATCTTCAATAAAATGACTGACCTGCAGAACATTTGATTTTAATAAGCGGAAAGGTTTTCCAGTTAGCACAAAGTGTTTGTTTTTCAGCATGTGGTTTTCTTACGTTCAATCCAGATGGCCATGTCACTGTGTTGTTTTCAATCCACACCTTTGGAATTACACCTTCGTGTATCTTGTTTCCTTCCTCCCAAACAGCTCTTGTCCACACAACTTTTAATAAAAGACGTGTGAAAGTTAATAAAGCATTAAGAACAGCTATCAAAGATAGAGACAACTCCCATCAACTGTCGTTTACGTTTGACTCTGACTTAAATGCAGACTATTCTACTATGTACAACAGCCCCACCCTTTAGAAAAAAACTATGTAAATTATGTAAAAATGGTCACTTGACAGCATTAAAATACATTACAAAGCACCATACGGCAAAGCAATTAGTTTACTCTATATATCAAAGTCAGGCAAGTGAAGAAGGTTGTGTACATTGTACACCACAAATGTATCACCATACAAAGACTTGCAGTTATTTACAAAATGAGTTATCAACTCTCTTGCATACTGCAGATATGAGTTTTGCTTCACAGTATTCATGTCTAGCATTATAGAAATAGTAATAGACAGAGAAAGGAAGTGCTGGTCAGATCAACACAACAGGCCCAGTATATAGCAAATATTGACGAAACTCAGTTGCTTTCCAGCGATCAAGTTCAACCAGTGACCTTGGTTGTCTAGCAAATTCACTTGGCATGTTTCCATGTAACAATATCAACTTTTCGGATATTTGCAGTATATGTCTGGAAGACAGCTTGCAAATTTTCGGCCCTTGTTTAAGAAAACTAAGCAAATGCCGAGTGACACCTAAACATACAAGGTGCATGTAGTCAAGTGGAAACTGCTTAACGCATGAAACACCATGTGAAGCTAGAAGGGAAGCACATTTTTGGTGGTGATCATAAGTGAAGTTGGAGAATTCGTCATCCGTCCTTGGTGCAAACACCTTATCATTGTTAAAAACAACTCTGCCATTCCATGACCCCTTAACTATGCACCGCTCACAGGAAAAATAGCCTGTATGACCAACTATACCTTTTAAGAAACATCTTGCAGGAGCATCACAACAGAAACACTTCAGATTAAAGGGAAAATGCCTTCCTTCAAAGTGTATACCATGAATCTTCAGTTTATCAAGTTCTTTGACTAAATCATTAAGATAATCATCCACAGAACTTGGTTTAGAATTACCATAAAAAAGTGCAACAACAAAGACTTCGACCTTATTAAAATAACCTAAAATAGGCCAGAACTGGGAAGTGGAAGATTTAAACAAAGGCAGGCCATCAACGTTAATCATCAGATCAACTTTAGTGTGCTTTTCTATTAATGATGAGTTCCTTGAAAGAATATCAGTTATACCAGCTTCGATAGCCAGGTATATATACTGCCCACCACACTTAGAAGAAGTCACTACTTCTCGAGGAGTTTGCAAAAGGGTGCGACTGTCTTTCGGAAGGCAGAGTCCCTGCCCTTGAAGAATTTGAAGTAACTCATTTACAGTAGTACGTTGGCATTTATTTTTTGTTGTCCAGGTAGCAAGATCCCCTCTCACTGTTTCTGATGGATCATTAGAATGTGCAGGTACATTTTCTTCACTTTCACTTTCCGGAATTTCAGTATCAGAAGCAGAGCTATATATCTGTTCAGGATTATCTGAATCACTATGATTTGATATCTCATCACTATGACTATCTTGCAAAAGATCACTTGAACATGCAGGGCTTAAAGGCTCAGGACTGTCCTCTTCATTACATTCTACATCATCTGAGGATGCACGGGCAATTGCTTCAGCAGAGAACTTTCGGTAACTCCGCCAATAAGCCATAGAATAGAATCACTGCCCTACAATATTCAAAATGTTTGTTTTGACAACGGAACACATTCCCATTGTAATACATATATGCCTATAGAGTATCTAAAATATTCTAAAAATGTGTTTTGATAGAGCTTGTTGGGAGTGTGGCTAATGTCCTGCATCATGGTTAAGTCCTGTCCGGCAACGCTAGTACAAGGATGGGCGACCTTCACAAACACCCAATCCTGAAGGATAATAGGGGAGTTCAAGGTTTCCAAAGCCATTGCTCAGGTTGTACAGGAACATTGGGACAAGCGAGTTGGCTATTGCCACATCCCATACTAATTTATAATGAGTGAGGAAAATTCCATATTTTGTGGAATTCTCAAAACCGAAACGAGATAATATTATGTTAAATTGGACAACTTCTGCATAATCTCTGGGTTATTTTTTACATGTCAATAAGGTTTCATTAGAATCAAAAGCATGTATGTGCTAAACTTTGGTGAGCCTACTCACATGTTTTGCGGATTGTTCACGATGCATTCTCATTTCTCAACTCCATATGTTACAAAAGCAAAGTGTGCTGCTTGACTGTGGCTTAATATGGTCACATAGATGAAGGAGAAGCTATTTGATTTTCTATTGATGTACAATAAACTGAATGATTATTTACCATGAAGTGATTGATGTGGAGTGATTATGCAGAAATTGTCCAATTTAACATGTCTCGTTTCATTTTGGAGAAATGGGCGACCTTCACAAACACCCAATCCTGAAGGATAATAGGGGAGTTCAAGGTTTCCAAAGCCATTGCTCAGGTTGTTTGCCATAGGGGGGTTCAAGGTTTCCAAAGCCATTGCTCAATGTAAATTTCACGCACTCATTATAAACCAGTACGAGAAATGGCACTGGCCGCACGTTTGCCCCCTGAGCAAAGGTGTCAGAAACCTTGAACTCCCCTATTGCATTGAGTAGACCCGATTTTTGTTGGTCTCTTCTGTGCTTCGAGGTTTTTCCTGGGTACTCTGATTTTTTTCCCTCAGTAAAACCAACACTTAGGTTCTAGTTCATAGAACGTGAATATGGGTCATTGATGTAAATGTAGGGCTATTTGTTATATATAAGCCATGTAAAGCGCTTTAGAATAAATATACATTGATATAACTATACATTGATGTAACTATAACTATAAAAATTGCCGTAGAATGTAACAGCTGTCTACAGCAATTTTGGCAGTTCCCAAGGCATTTTTCAAATTACTGTAATAAAACTTTAATTTTATTGTTACTTTGGATTTTTGACGAGCTAGAAAACATGTCTATGTATTTCTTTGGTGTTTTTTCTTGAAGAAAACTGAGACTAAAATAGTGATTTACACATGATTTGATCAACATCTGAATTCAAGTATCAAAATAGTAATGCACAGTGAATAGTATGATAAGTAGACACATAGTTAAGTAGACACATAAAATATCTCACAAAATATAAGTTATAGAATAAACTCACCCTAGCTAGTAAACCTAATTTAAACTTTCTGGGGGAGTAAGCTTGGCTGACCCCCATACCCACCTATGGCTTGCATGTTACTTGTACTTTGCCGATATCTTTGACCCTTGCCCGTAAATTACTACTGGGATATTTGTAATAAAAGAACCACAACTTAATTATTGAAAAAGTCCAATTCAATTTTTATTGGCATTGATGAACAAGGACATAATTGTCATGCTTTTGTTTATAACATAACATTAATCAGCAGCTATAAAGTTCCTAAACAATAGAATTATGTAAATAGCAAACTTAAATGTATCCAACAAGGAATTGACACATTTTGTAAGATCATGTGCAGGTGCATCCCCATGCAAGTGTGCACAGGTGGCCCAGACATGTATTAGTTTATAGTAAATATATAATCATAGAATATAGTACTACACAGTAAAATATGTAATGAATTTTATATTTTAAAATTATATTTACTTGCCTACTTTGATTGTATGCGATCATCTTTTATTTCTGGGCAACTTTACACTCTATGCCTGCAACTGTCTTCGTAGGTGATAGGAATGAAAGCAAAGGCTAACGATTCCAGTTCTGAAACCGGCAACACGAACACTTCAACTCGAAAATATCCCCTTTAACTCATTAAGTTGCAGACTGTTGCAACATTGGCACTCCCCAAGTTGCAAGGAAAATGGGGAATTTTAGTTACTGTCAACTTCTGTCAACTGCTTTTACAAAAATACCCATATCTCAAGATCAATGTTATAAAAAACCTTGAAATTTTGCAGTGGGTTAAAATGATAAATGATTAATCAATTCTATTTTAAATGAGCTCCCACACTTAAATATATCATTAGATTTTTGGGTGAGAATTCTTGGTTTGTGTAAATTTAAGTCTCTGACATTTTGCTTCTTCATGACACCCAACATCTGAAGGGCAATAATTCAATAACCCAACATAAATGGAGAAATATTTTTTGATTCCTGGACTGGTACACATTTATTTTCAAATTAGTTTTCATCTTGTAGGGTATAAATTACAAAATAATGAAACGCTATAAAAATTTGCTTGGGGATAGCTCAGGCACACTCAGGACATCTAGTTTACAATGGAGAACTTGAACTTTAAAACTTGTTGTTCAAGTCTAAAAACTCTGTAACCCAAAAACACAGTGTTTGTACCTCTTTGAAGTTTTTAAATAGCTCAAATATGTTTGGAAAAACACGAAGTACAAAACTTACTAATTAAAATATAAGCAAAGGATGAAAAAGGTGAGAAAATTTTAAAATATTTGAGGTGTTTTCAATTCTGACTTTGACAGCCGGCATTTTGAAACGCAGCGTGCGGTGACAAAACAAAAGGCTTTTTATTTCGCTATTAAGAGCACTGAAAGTCGTCAAAAAGAGATAAACACTTTTGAATATTCATCAGGTAAGAATTTTAACTGAAATTCCTTTTGTTTCTGTTGAGAAAACAACGGATTTGTGGCTAAAACGTTGTGCGCGCCAATGTAGGTTGCTGTAAAATGTCAGACAGGCGGTTTCTTTTGAAATCTGACTCTAGCTTGAAATAAGTCCTTTTCAAGGACCAATTGTATAAAAATATAATATGTATGCTCAAATAAAATGAATAATCTAATATTTAGGCATTTTAGATTGCTATAAAAGAGTGAAATAAAGTATTTCATCTTTGGTTGTTTGTCAGACGAGAGTAAACACATTGGTGACACTTTGTTGCGCATGCAGTTTTCAAAAGATAAACTGCTAAAAATATAGCTTTTATTTCACCAAATAGCAAAGTATCTTGCAGATATTATTAAAAGAGCTCAAGCGAAGTAATTCCATGATAAATAAGTGAACAATGAGACCAAAAAAGCGACTAAATTACAATTTTGGAAAGTACATAAATTTAATGGCTTCCCGCAAAAGAAGCCATTTCAGAGGAGAACGGCATTTTGTAAACTGCTCTCCTGACCTATTTTAAACTTTTCCTTCAGGTAATCGATGAGTACTTCTTAGAAAATGAGCGTACATTAGTTTTATGATGTGCTTTATTGATTTAAAAATTTTATGGGGATATATGAAGCGATAAAGTGTATTTTAGAAGCTTTTCAAATCCCTGTCATGAAGGTTCAGAATTCGCACGCGCCAAGTAACGGCATAATTCAATACACTGATTTTAAACCACATTATCTCTGAAATGAGAGCTCGTTTCGAGACAAAGTTTATAGAAACAGATATAGTATTCATTGTAGAGTATTCTACTTAGTTTTAATGCGGTTTTACTCGAAATTTTTCTTGCCAAAAATGTATATACGCACATGACAAGTTGAACCTACTGTCTTCTGAAAATACTTCGGCTAAAATAACAACTTGAGCAAGACGACCAACAGTAGGGTCACGAAAACAGTCGAAATCATGCCATAAAATGCACGAAAAGTTCTTCTAAAAACTTAGTTTTAAACTAGATTGAACTTGCTTTAACGCTATATTGTATTTCATGAAAACATGCCAGGTATTTTCATTCAAAAACACGCTAAAAAAAACGTAACTACTCACTTGGATTTAGTGTTCATGTTTCTTGCGATTTCCCACTTCACTTTTCCGTTAGATTGAAAGAAATTGCTGTTTTTCTGGCTGAAAATCGCGTGACTTGATTTGGACAAGAACTTGACTTGAAACATATGCACACTCCCTTATGTTTTACAATATATTTTATATGTAAAACTCTTTAAAAACCTCTTCTTTTTCATCCTTAAAACTTGCTGCAAAGTCCTATTGACACTTTGCGGTTGTCACAGGTTTTGCAAAAAAATAGAGTTTTAAAATCGAAAATCCTCGCAACCCTTTGATCAACCCTCTCGCATGATGTATCGTTTGAAAGTCCGAATCTTGCACTTTATACTCGTGACCGTTGCTAGGCAACCCGATAAACACGCGCTAGACAATCGTGCCCGGAAGTTGACGTGTCATCCAGGGCGCATGAGGGCGCAATGAGACTTAATGAGTTAAATCGCTGCGTTTCGGTAAAAATTCGCCAGTGTATAGAATAAACACTCATCTTCGAACATATACAAGGCAATTTTAACATGTCATATAATTTTTGCAATGGGTTTTTAACAAAATGTTTTGAAACTCAAAATCTATGGAACTTAGAAAGCCCGATAATTAGTACCATGCATGCTTGGCGACCGAGCTTGCTTTACTGTTTTGATTGTCAGAAGGGGGGAGACGCCAGCAATGTGCACACAATGCAATTACCAAACACCTATTTTCGGCAAAAGCCGGCCCAATCAACGCTGCAATTATAGCGACTGTTTACAATATTTGATGTTTGTATTAACCTTATATTTCACTTCGAGATTGTTGTGTTTATTAATACTTCGAGATTTCAATGTTTCAGCTAAATTCTGATCAGAAAAATATTCTAAATTTATTCTCGCTGAGCATAACGTTTTAGTAACTGGTCAAGCTGTTAACTGGGTTGAGCAACTGGTCAAGCTGTTAACTGGTTGAGCTGACTGAAATTGTGCGTCAACAGATCATGCATTTTTGTCAGCAATTTTGGAATTGAGACTGGGAAGTGTTCCGCTCAAAAACGATGCAAAAATCATTTTCTTCAGAAAGCTGCCCAGGGAGTTTGGTAGCTTTTCCGCAATCTTCGAAAAAGATGTGTCCCATAATATCAATTAGCCAGCTAATCAACAAACATTGCTGAGCTTTTATTACCTTCTGTGTATCCACAGGCGTTGCATTGATAACTGTCTTCTTGACAGTACACTGCCACACAACTTTCTTGCCCGTAGTGCATGCTGAGTTGTATTTCTTAGAATACCCACAGACTGGGCATTCTCGATCAAGGATTTCTCCTTCCCCATATCTATCATCTAGGAGTTCATCCATGGGAGAATGTTTTTTGTTATACATTTACTAAATACTACATAAAACTCTATAATGGCATTTTGTGTATCTGTGGCACACACAAGTTTCATCCAACCCTAATTTACTGTAAATAAGAAACGTTTTAAAGTGTGTGCCAACATATACACAAAATGCCATTATAGAGTTTTATGTAGTAAACACCTTTTCATATTTAATTAATATTTAGGCACAAAGCTACCTTTAATATTTTAATATTTGTTTTTTACCATGAAAGTTCTGCAGTTATTTTTATAGTAAGCAAAATTTTTAAATTCGTACATTTTTGACAAAAAGGAAATTTAATTCTAAGTGGCAAAATATGTAGTTTTTGTCACCGATATTCAAACTTTCAATGGACATGTATGTACGTAGGTTTTTTTAATGAGCATTGCTTGGTCTTGGAGAAGACTTTTGACGTTTTGGCTTTTCATCAGACTGATGTTTGAACATTTATTATTAAACTGAAACTCCTATAGGTTCAAACGGTTTTACTTTTAATACATATAAAAATATAAAAGTTAAGCCGTTTTAATACAGCCGTTTCTATGACATGTTTTTTATGGCAAGTTTTATTTGTGCAAATGCATGCGTTGTTCAAAAGCTGGCATGTTAGCTTTTAAATGCAATTGCACTTGTCATAGAAAAAATTGTCAAAGTTGCCCATACAGACGAAGAAATAAAACTTGTCATAGAAACTTTGTCATATGGTGTACTTGACAATATAAAACTTGCCATATAAAAACTTGTCATAGAAAACGTGCTTGTCTGTAACCGGTTTTAACTGAAAAGTAAACTCACCTGGAATGTGATCACAAAAAACCTTGATCCATGTTGTTTTTCTGAATGTGAACCCAAAAAGCAAAACAGAACAAGACTTATTGAAATAGCATAAAAATCGTCCTTGCAAAAAGATTTTTCTCAGTTTAAACATCTCACTTCTCATGTGACTTGTACAGCTGTACACCTCACCCGCACCTCACTTGCTTCTTTTGACATTGTAAATAAATCGTTGTGTGAAATTTAAATTTCTCCTGCAACAATTTTGATTGGATACTAAATATAAAGGATTGTGTTAGGCTATTATTTGTAAAATAGAGCCTGATCGTAGGTTAGCTTAACATATAAAATGCTCAGTGTTAGCAGTGCCCAAGAAAGGAACAAAAAATTATCTTAATTTATTGGCCAAGAAAACCTGCTCAAAAATACCGTCTTCCACTTGCTCAGGCGTTGTGGTACCCAGTGGACCATTCCAAGTTTGAATCATTCTATATTATTACCTATATTATTTTCGCCCAGCACATGCTTAGGCAAACAGTTATACAAGCCTTAAAATTCAGACATATTGCCAGAAAATATCTAACAGAAATTCTACATTTAATTTGGTCCTTGATGGACAGTAAGGTCTACAAGGTTTCAGATTGAATCTACGTACCCTTATCTTGCATTCTAATAATCCAATCTCAGTCTTCCACTGATACTGATCGAAACTCAGTTAATGCTTTCCTTTCTTCTGGAGTTAGATTATCTTCAATATCCTTACATCTTGTTTGTTCAAATAAATCTTTTCCCTTTCTATTAAAAAATACTTCAATAAAGCTGGTATACAAGCAGTTGGTGGATCATTTTTAGATTTTTGATAGACGCGTCTAAACTGCTACTTTCTCTTTTTGTAGATTGTTTAGAATGAAAAATTGCTTGCCGTCTGACCTTTTTAAAGGCTAACGAAGATTGTTGTATATCATCAGCAGACAGTTCTAATCGGCGTCGGAACAAATGAGGGACCATGTTAACATAAATGCACGAGGTTTTCATCAATAGAGTTATCTGTTAAATTAATAGGTTCTTGTTTATGTGTAAAGAGACATTTTGGACAGACATATTTCCAGGTTGAGATATTATCACAGTCCAGCGCAGACTTGTAATGGTGGTAAAGAGCAGATCTGAAACAGCGACCGATGAAAGGCAACAGGTTGACATAGGTAGACTGTTCCACAGTGAAGTAACTTTTTTGAAACTGAGAGGTTTTACATTTTGGGACTACATAATCGAGAAACTGTTTCTGTCTCTGTCTTGAAATAAAGGAGAAGAACGATGGTTTTACAAGCGTATTTTCAAAATATATTTTCATTGATAGAAACATGAATATTGTGATGCCAACGTTGTCAGGTAATTCCCACACAAATAACACAAAGGTTGAAGTAATTAAGGTCAAACGAATTTGTATAACCAATAGGATCCTAATGCACATAATAATGAGAGTTATATTCATAGTGATCATCTTATTTAATTCATTTTCCGAATGATCATCTTAATTCATAAGTGATAATTTTCCGAAGTTACAACGAGGATGGTAAAACAACGAGAGGTTTCTGACCTAACTGCATTTTGTTTTGTGATGAAAATTTATTCCTGTCGCAAAACAAGGCGAGCGATTTTCAGAGTTAATTTATTCCTGTTGCAAAACAAGGCGAGCTATTTTCGGAGTGTCATTCTGTTTCGGGATGTCAGAACAAGGAGAGTAGATATAAATGTTAGACGTTTTAAGTGAAAATATGGCTGAAGGGTTAGTAATGGAGGTTTTGAAGGAAAATAACATTGAATTGAGTGGGAGTACTTTTCGTTTTCATTTAAAAGTGCTTTTGGAAAATCATGAGGGTTTATTTGAATCCATGATAGTTCGTATTGGAAGAGAGAACGTACTGGAAAATTTGTGTATAATCTATCAAGAGTTACAGCCTTCAAATTTTGGTAGAATTATGGCTTACTTGACATTAGTTTTTAAAGTGAGTAGGTTTTGTGACCCTGAAATTGTACGAGATACCATAAGAATCTGTGTATGGGATTTGAAACAAGTGGATATAGCTAGCTTTGAAATCAGACAATCTTGGACGCAACGCTTAGTTGCGTGGTTACACCGTAACCTTGTGAAATTTGAATATCACTAATCCAGGTTGAATAGCACAAGTCATTAACTGTTATACATATGGCTGAACACATTATACTTTTACGACATTGCCCGGACGTGTTTATGCTGACCTAGTGAGAAACGGATTGTGATTGTGCTTTTTTTCATATTACTTGTTATTTGGAAGTCAAAGAGGGATTGATCAGAGACATTGTACCAAAAAAAGGCAAAGCAATGGAATACCATGCCAGAGAGTGTGAACGATGTGAAGAATTTAGCCCGAACACTACAGAACTACCACTACGTTATACAAGAAGATAAAGTTCGATGAACTTTGAGGATTCTAGATGTGATTTATCACTTATTTACTGAGACCATGTGTTTTGTGGACCCAAGACCATCGACGGTCAAGGGTCCACAAAACACTGCTTTCCCGAGGTTTTATTATATATCAATAGTCAAAGAAACAACAAATTAAAGAACAAATGAAATATTTTATTGTTAAAACGTTAAATTAAACACAGTTGCTTATAAAAGCGAAAGTTTATAAAGTGATCAAATGTTTAAAAAGCATACAATTTATTTGAAAAAAGTAAACAACACTCAAAACAACAGTCATTAACAGTCATTCAAGGATAGAGACCACTACTTGCTATTAAAATTAAAGGTTACATTGCAATTATTGAATGCACCACTTGCAAACGTGACATTCTTAAGAGTGTTTGTTTGTGTTGCGTGAAGAACCGGTGAGCCAGGCAACAAAAGATCTGGTAGAGGAGAGAAGCATATTGTATCCAATGCATTTTCGTACTGGCTAGACGTCAGTTCTAGCCGGGTTTCTGAAGGCGAAGACAAGATTGTCTCTTCAATTTCACATGCCAGACCAAGTGTTTCGGAAATTTCTCTTTGCTTGTGTTCTGAAAGGCGATGTGAGTAACTTCTGATGCTCACTTCTGATTTATGACCAGAAACTCGCATTATCTGCCTGGCTTCGAAGTTGGAGGTCTAGGACGGTTACAGCCATCGGTCGTATGCTGTGGTTTGTGTACTCTTTAGACAGGTCGACTGCTCTTGAAATATCTTTCATGAAGTTGCCAAGGGTATTCTTTCCGACCGGAATGTTACAGTACCAGCAGATGTCAGCTGTTGATTCCTTCGGTCGTTGCCAAAGGCATTTTAACTTTGGATGAAGCTTCAAAAGATACAGCTCAAATGACTTGACTGGACATAGTGCACCCAGTTGCTTGTACATTCTTCTATCTGTTGTGGAATCTTGAGGGTTGTCATTTCCTCGGTGATTTTTATCGAGCTCATCGACAGCCTGGTAAACGTATCTTCTATTCTGCGACTCAACAGCTACTACGAACATGTCTTTTGTTTGTTCTCGCACGTTTTCTCGTCCTCTTCTGACCAGATGAAACATTATATCAAACATACATTTTTGCTGCAGTCCTTTAGGAGTGTTTAAATCAAAGCTTAAGTACAGCTTTTGTAAGTCGTCCTTCATAATTTCTGGATGATGGTTAACTTTAGCCATGCTATTTCGTTTCAGTTCAACGAGTAATGCAGAAAATACTTTGTTTGACGAACCGAAGGATACATCCTCCACAATGTTTACTTTCTTTTCATTCATTAAATATCATGCAAGCCCATATCGTATTGAGTTCATAGTGCTTTTACTGTACAGTGTCTTTTTCTTGCATTAGCATAAAAATGTTTGAGCAGGTTGTCAAGTTCTACTTTGTTTATATTTTCAAACTCTGTAGGAAGTTCGTTTTCGGCATAATATTCTCTTAGTATTCTTACTTCTTGTTTTGTTGCATTTTTGGTTGATTTGAAGTCTTTGTTGCCAGCATTGACTCTATATTCGCCCAGTCGATAACATATTATTTCCCTCTCGTGCTGTTGTGAGGGAGACAGTCTAATTTTGAAATTCTCATGTGATATGCTCTCAACCAATAAAACAATAGAAAAATGCAACTTTGACTATTGGTATGTAATAAAGATGTTTGTTCGAAATCGATCGACAACTGTTTGATGTTCAAGGATTAGTAAAAATGTGGAACATAACATGTGAACATGATAAATGTACTGAACCGGCAAACTTTTATAATTGTGGGAGCGAGTTTTGTATGTTGTTTTTGCTATGTGCAAACATATTGTTATATTCACTGTTGTGCATGTAATATACCACGTAAATGTAGAGATGATGATTGTATTTTAGCATTAGCAAAATGTTTTATTATTAAATATATTACAAATGTGTTTCTTGAATGAGTAAAGGCAGATCTAATGTAAAGGCACATCTAATATGCGTTGCACTTCTTGGGTTCGGACCCCACTCTGGGTAAAATACTTTTTCTCTCTTTGAGCTCCATAATTCGATTTAAATTGCTTAAGCAGGGTGTATGCCTTAAAATCAGGCGTGAGGTTTGGTGGGCATAAATTCTTCACGGGTTAAGGTAATTGACGGGATTAGGCGAACAGAGATTTGCATAACTATACGTACTCCAATGGATAGATAAGGATATTACATCTTTACCTGTTTGGGGTGATTCTGTTTTTATATCAAGCAAACCGTAATACCTTGGTGGTTGAATGTTATGGTATTAGGAGTTGTCCCAAAAAAAGGGCTTTCGAGTCCCATTCTATATAATGTATATAATGTGTAGTAGAGTTATAGCTATATATCTTCGCTTGGATTTCCACAGATATTTTGAAGTTTTTTTTCCCATGCTTAAAATACCTACTTGCGATAGCTCAGTCGGTAGAGTGAAGGACTGTAGTTCCTTAGGTCGTTGGTTCGAAGCCAGCCGTCACAAGATCTAAAAAAGTGGACATTCGTTTTGACCTAAAATCGGGTGTGTGACTTTGCGGGCAGTAAATTTCATAAACAAGACTAGAATAATACTTGCGCAAGGGTGTTAAAACTGAAGCTTGATGTGAATTTGCTCGAACATTTACAACAAATGGAAAGAGATCCAGAGTCTATGTTTGTCGAGTTGTTAATGAAATTGCAACAAAACACTGAGAGCCATGGAAATTTGTGTATGCTGAACTATTTATCCCATTGGAAACTATGAACGATTTAGAAGTCATGAGACAAATCCTAATAAGACTTATCAAGAATTTTTTTTTGGAGAAAAATTTTTTAGAACAATTAACCAAACAGTCTTAGTATTTGTAATATTTTTAGCTTGCGATAAATATATTTTCACCAAATACATTTTTGTGTGATTAAGATACCACTTATTTTAAGGTTATGAAGAATATTTGGAGAATAATTTAACATAAAGTCTTGGTGCTTAGAACGTCTCTTTTTAACTAAGCTACAAATATATTTTGAAGAAATTGTATACGTATTGATATGCACTGCTAGAGTCCAAGTGATTAAAGACCTCAACAAATTTACATACTTCATACAATCCTTAGGAATCGAAATGCGTTTTATTCTTTTCGACATTTGGTAGCTCTTAGAAGAGCTGGGTTTTTTTTTCTTGGCTTTGTCTTTGTCTCTTTAGACACCAATCCAGTGGCAAGTGCATAGTGTGGCCCAGCTGCCACACTCAACATGAACCGACTCACCCATTTCCAGTGTCTGAAAGTGTAACAGATTCACACATACTGAATGTACTGTTGAATGGCAACAACTTGTTTCCATGAGTTGTTCTTCGGCCTACTTAAAACACAGGCAGAAAAAACAGAAATTCATGTCAACGTAGTTCTGTTGACAGTACGCACACAACATGATGTGAGGTCATCATTTTCAGATGCGGAAACAAATAATCAGCTCCCAAAACACGCAGAGTGCACCAGGTGGCTACAAACTGTCACAAAACGCTCATCTCTGGCGATGTCTGTCAGGCAGAAATGGCAGATCTCACTTTCTCTTGGCAAATCTTCAGACGTCGCTAGAACTCCAAACAGATGGAACCACCTTGATGGAAGAGAGTGATCTGGCGCTGGTAGAATTCCGACAAATTCCATCTTGAGTTTACCTTAGCATAGAAGTTAGGAATGGGTCGTTCCAGAAAAGATCCATACCCCCCCACGGAGGAAATTTTTGCTGTCCGAAGGGCGAGGGAGGAAAAATGTCTTAGGATGTCCGAAGGTGGGGAGAGGAAAAATGTGTTAGGATGTCCGAAGGGGAGGAGAGGAATGTGGATATGTTTGTCTGAAGGTTTGAGACTGTGATAAAGCTATGTGATCGGCGATTATAATGAGCACGCAATTTTTATCGGCTATATGTAGCTCTTGAACACCGGAACGTTTATGTAACAGCAATAATTATATGTCCACGTAACTCGTAAGCAAAATAAGCGGCCCAATTTTGCATGCATGGCCACCAAAAACTAACTCGCTGTAACAGTGTATCCTGCATGTTGAGAATGAGTCGAAAATTGACACGCGTTATTTATATAAAAGTAAAGTTTGCAGTTTTCGTTCGTATATATAAGTTTGAATTATTCAAGTGTTAAAAATAATAGTTATTAAACTGTTGCTCGAATTAAGAGACTGCTATGTGAACTGAACTCAAAACAATTTGTTTTAGTATATAGTCAATAAAAGCTTCCTTGCGAGGTGCATGTCTAGAAAATAGAAATGGCTTTCATATTAAGGGCGAGGTTAAGGAATGTAGTAATACTAAAGAAGGCATTAACATGTAAGTAAACATAGCAACGCTTGTCAATCAGTCGCAAGTTACATCGAATTTCAGTCCGAGTTTTACTTGAACAAATTTCGAAGTGAATTTCTGCAAATTATCCGACAAAACCTGCCACGTGTTTGTGTTCGCAAGTCACAAGAAGCCGACAAGTGTTCCGCCACGCCGGAGCTATTTGAAAACACCGTAGAAAAGTCACAATAAGCCATCGCTAATTCACTCTACGCTGGAGCGAAATCGTTTGAAAACTTTCACGTCACTTTTGCCGTAACAATTTGAGCACAGTTTCTAAATGGAGTGAGGTGAAAACGGCGGAGCGCTTGATAGCTTCGTGTGAACACAAACGTGTAAACTCGAATGCTTTTCAGTTAAATTTCTTGGATCTATTTGAAATATTTTGGGTTTACACGAGTGCTAATTCAATTTGTAAACGAACTGTAATGGCGGTAGTGTGAACACACCTAAATTAATTCTGCCTGCATTAGTTCGCTCACGCGTAGTGTGAACATAGTCTAATTTTCGGTGACGTTTTCAAACGGTGAGGTAGCCTTTAGAAAAATTTAGAAATAGTGGATGTCCGAAGGGGAGGGGGGTAATTTTGGGCTTTGATGTCCGGAGAGGGGGGGGGAGGATGAACCATTCAAGGATGTCCGAAGGGAGGGGGGGTATTTTCGATTTCCTCCGTAGGGGGGGGGGGGGTATGGATCTTTTCTGGAATGACCCAATGATACCTCTATTTATACACCCCTATTAACATAATTACTTTCTTTCAGTCTCTATTAATTAGCATCTGCCAGCAAGATGAAAAGTGTTAAATAGCCAGCGCACACATTGACCAGTGTGTATTACTCGCAACAATTATTACTTGATCGGGTTGAATTTATTTTATTCTATAAATTTGATCAGTCAACAACATAACTTAAACCACCTTTCATCGGTTTCAAGATAAAAAAATTCGCCAGTGTGGTGAATTTAACTAACTATTATCGGGTAATTCTATTATTGGGTAATTCTTTGGTGATTAATAGACAATACATTATACTGTTAAATTTGTGACTTAGCATATACTGGTAAGCTGGTAACATGAAAAAAGTGTTAATCTACCATAACAATTTACCATTGTGGTGAATTTAAATGACTATTATCAAATTAAAAGGTCTAATTGTTTGATGATTATTAGACAATAAAAAATATATTGGTAAATTTGTGACTAAAAGGTTTTCGGGTGTAAATTTTTCATTCGAAAAAAAGTAAATATTTCCAACTAACACTCATACTATTTACACTGAGCTATTGTGTTAGGACTATGGACACATGTTTATCTATAGGAATCCAATTCCATAATTTGTGATAAAGAGAAACATTTCACTTAAAACATTTCACACGAGTTTCAGAGATAAAATAAGTCCCGCACGGGACAAAACGTCCCCCAGGGACACTTTTAACAATTCTGGGACAAAAAAGTCCTGTGAGGGACTTTTTATAAGAGACGTGGGGTCAAGCAAGTTCTTCATCATTCCTCTGACGAATATTCAATCGCCTGTAATTAGTTTCAGCAAGTGCGTGGGTGATAGGACAAAGCATGTAGATATGTTTAGCTGCGCAAAATAAAAGCAGGTCAGCAACACGCTCATATTGCTCACCATGGCTAAAGTATCGGAGATTGTTGCGATAATTGATATGGATGGATATCACATTCAACACAAGTTCCTTTGTAAGGAGATGGGTCTGTTGAAAGAAGTCCTTCTTTGACATCAACCTACGATCTTACACATAAAGATTGAAAGACATGTAGCTATGTTCACAATCGGATACACAAACTACCGTTTGGTGTCCCGCCGGGTGTAAAAGCATTCCAGATTTCAGAATTGGAGGCAATTGTAGAGAATTTCTACATGGAAACTCGTAAAAACCCGGACTCTACGTTTGCGTTCAAAGGAGGACATTACGAAAAGGATCTATTGGCAAAACTGAATATCCCCTCCATAAATCTGGAATGGTTCGGTTGCCCTAAAGCAAAAAAACTGTTTGACGAACTAATATGTTTGGAAACCTGTGGCAACCACATTGAGAACAATGCATACCAGCACTGTGCCAAAGTGGAAGTTGAGGCCTATGCACTGTGGATGCGAAAGTCTTAGAGACTCAAAACAAAACGGCTCTTTTCAGAGCCACCATATTCACAAAAGAATATAACAAAATTCGATTTGTTCATTGTGAAGTTAACAACATACTTTGCATATAGTCTCGATAATCAAAGTTCCACATAAGGAGAAAAAAGTTTAAAATTTAAAAACAAAACACACAAGTGGAAAGGGATTGAATATTCGTCAGAGGAATGATGAAGAACTTGCTTGACCCCACGTCTGTTATAAAAAGTCCCTCACAGGAATTTTTTGTCCCGGGTGTCCTGGAAATGTTAAAAGTGTCCCTGGGGGATGTTTTGTCCCGTGCGGGACTTATTTTGTCCCTGAAACTCTGCATGGGGAAGGGGCCCGCACGACACCGATTTCTAATATCGAGAAAACTTTAAGTGAAGTGTTTCTCTTTATCACAAATTATGGAATTGGATTCCTATAGATAAACACATGTCCATAGTCCTAACACAACAGCTCAGTGTGAATAGTCACAAATTTAACAGTATAATGCATTGTCTATTAATCACCAAAGCATTACCCGATAATAGAACTACCCGATAATAGTTAGTTAAATTCACCACACTGTTGAATTTTTTTTATCTTGAAACCGATGAAAGGTGGTTTAACTCATTAACGTGCAAGCTGTTACAATGTTTCTACCCCCAAAGTGGACAAGCAAAATGGCGAATACGTGATTGAATTCAAGAGCTTTCACCAAAATGGCAATATCTCGGAAACAGTTGCATGAAAAAATCTGGTCTTTTCAACCAAATATTATTGATATATGATTGACCAAATTTAGTTTAAATGAACTTGCATACCTATATATATCATTAGAGAATTTTTATTTGTAAAGCAGTGACATTTTGTTTTTCATGTCACTATATTCACCTAAAGGGGCAATATCTCCATAAATTTATATAAAAACAAAAAAAAAAATTATTCACTAAATTAGTACATATCTATTTTATAACCAATTTTCATCTATTGGGATATGAATTAGAAAATGATCAAATTATAAAA